AAATAAAGCTGTAAATTACATTAACTATATTTTTATTTGTGAAAAAGTAAGTTATCAAATTTAAAGATAATTTGCTGCAATATTCTTTCAAATGTTAACATAGTATTTATCATAAAAAGCACCAAAGACTAAGTCAAAATTAAATTAAGATAAACAGACTCAATAACTCTTTACCCTAAAATATCCTTATTAAAATCTTTTATTACTTTGTATTTACTAGTAAAAGAGCAAAATAAACACTAATTAATTTCTTTTTTTCTAATTAATCCAATTTCAAGTGAAAAAAGTGATATTGTTAGCACCATAGAATGATGTTATTTACTTTGTTATAAATTGAACAGAGGTGTGAAGGTGCGAAAGGCAACAAAAGACTGTTGTGTTTTAAATGAAAGATGTTTGCATTGTATTTATTTATACAGTTGACTGGTTACTAACAATTAGATATGGACAATGGAATATATGTTGTAAATATTGTTTGTAAATAGTATGTTAAAAACTATAAAAGTTGGGTAAATATTGTTATGAGTTAACTTTAAAGCTAAAATTATGATTTTATTTTTTGCTGAATTAATATTTGCAATTTATTTGTTCTGTATTTATTCAAACTTTTGATTGAATATATTAAAATAATGGTACTGATACTTAAATTACTTCACCAAAAAAAGTACTGGTTTACTGCAGTATTACCGAGCTAAAATCTAAAGGACTGGTTACTGGTAATGGCACTGCATATTTGCCAGTACTGGTAACGGACTTAAAGTAATACACCCTTAAGTCTGATGGCAGCTCTGATTGTGACGACGAGGGGAATGAAGAGATAAGATAGAAAAGCAAAATTCAGATTCTCCATACATTAAAGATTACTGGTCTTTCTGGGGAATTAAATGTTGTGGACTTACGGGAAACGAGAAAGACCATCAAAACTTCTCGGCAATCAAAATTTAAATTAATCAGATAAGTCTCGTGTTCGATGCCCTTTTTATTACCTGTAAATAAGACTTTGTTAGTATGGCACGGTCCATTTTAAGTGTACCCGGTTGACTCATGAAAACCATAACGTCCATTATTCCCGGTCAATACCAAATGAGCAAGTTATTATTTATTAAATTTTTGCGCTGGCTATTGTAATTTAATAGAAATAAGGTGGGTTTAAGGACATCGAGTAAGTAGTGATTAGGCGTTTAAGTCATGGAGTTACGAAATATGTAATGTTTTTATACGCCCGTTTGAAAAACGGGACGAGTATTTGGGAACGCCCTGGCGGGCGGGCGGCGCGTTCCAATTTTGTCCGGAGCATATCTCCTACATGTTGGAGGGATTTTAAAATGAAATTTCATAGAAATGTTCACCCACTATGAGGAGCAGTGTCGCGCACATAACCAGGTCTCTATGTCAAAGGTCAAGGTCACACTTAGAGGCTCATTGAAAAAATGCTTGTCCGGAGCAAAACTTCCACATGTATAGAGGGATTTCAATATTTACTTGGCAAAATGGTTCACCATTGTGAGGCGGAGTGTCGCGCGCAAGATTCAGGTCCTTGCGGCCAAGGTCAAGGTCACACATAGAGGTCAAAGTTTCAGATAAAAATATGAAGATGTGTATATGGACCATTTAGTCATCATTTATTGAGGGATTGTAACACAATGGTCATTATCAAGCCTATGGCTGTAATACATATAATTTAGGCTCAATATATACAAAGGTCAAGGTCACTAAAGATGATGAAATATCCAGATTTTGTCCGGAGCATATCTCCTACACGCATGGAGGGATTTTAATGAAATTTCATAGAAATGTTCACCATTATGAGAAGCCATGTCACGCAACATGAACTAGGTCTCTAGGTCAAAGGTCCAAGGTCACACTTTGAGCTCATTGAAAAACGCTTGTCCGGAGCAAAACTTCCACATGCATAGATTGATTTCAATATAACTTGGCACAAATGTTCACCATTGTGAGGCGGAGTGTCGCGCACAAAATTCAGGGTCCCTGCAGCCAAGGTCAAGGGTCACACATAGAGGTCAAAGTTTAGATAAAAATATGAAGATGTGTATAGGGACGATTTAATCATCATTTATTGAGGGATTGTAACACAAATGGTCATTATCATGACTACGGCTGTGACACATGTACTTTAGGTCAATATATGCAAGGTCAAGGTCACTAAAGATGGTGAAATATCCAGATTTTGTCTGAGCATATCCTACATGTATGGAAGAATTTTTATATACTTTATGGAAATGTTCACCACCATGATATGTATTGCCCCATGCATGAGGTCCAGGTCAAAGGTCAAGGTCACACTTAGAGCTCATTCGAAAAACGCTTGTCCGGAGCAAAACTTCTACATTCATAGGGGATTTCAATATAACTTGGCACAAATGTTCACCATTGTGAGGCTGAGTGTCGCACGCAAAATTCAGATCCCTGCGACCAAAGTCAAGGTTACACATAGAGGTCAAAAGTTTTAGATAAAAATTTGAAGATGTGTTATAGGGACCATATTTAGAGTCATCATTTATTGATGGATTGTAGCACAAATGGTAACTATCATGACTGCAAGGTGTGACACATTTAATATTTAGGTTTAATATTTGCAAGGTCAAGGTCACTGGAGATGATTAAATATCCAGATGTTGTTCCGGAGCATATTTTCTACATGCATGGAGGAATTTTAATGTTACTTTATAGAATTGTTCACCGCCATGAACGTAGTGCCCTGCACATGAACCAAGTCTCTAGGTCAAAGGTGAAGGTCACAGTTAGAGCTCATAGAAAAACGCTTGTCTGGAGCAAAACTTCTACATGCATAGAGGGATTTCAATATAATTTGGCACAAATGTTCATCATTGTGAGGCTGAGTGCCGTGCATAAAATTCAGGTCCCTGCGACCAAGGTCAAGGTCACACATCCTGTGCATATCTTCCCTACTGATTTGTTTTAAGGTTCATTTTAACAACACAGTGCCAAGAATAAAAACTTGCTTGCCAGATAACACTATCCATAATGCCCCCATCTCCATCTAAAGCTTTCGTAAACGGGCGTATTTTGTGACTATGGCACCCTTGTTTTTTTTGTAACATTTTAATCTTTTAAACATTTTTCCCAAAAAAAGTTTAACTTTTAAAGTTTAAATTGGGGTCAAGAAAAATTTGAATGTTTTTAAATTTTCTTAACAACCTTTAAATTATACAAAAATACATAAAGTATATTTTTTTTAAATTTTGAAATCTTAATTTCAATTGCCCATAGAGTGCCCCTAAAAAGTCCCCAATAAATTTTTTCCCACCTTTTAATCTTGGGATTCTGAAAAAGGGTTTCCGTAAAACCCTATATCTCTTCTTGAGGTGGTGTTTTTTAAAAAAAAACTTTTTCAAAAAATCTTGTAAAATTCTACCCTGCATGTTAAAAAAACTTTTGGCAAATCTCAACTTTTTGGGGAAAATCATGTTTAAAAAATTTTAAAAGCGAAAAATTAAAAAAACGAAGTAAAGATTCTTGACAAGCCGGTAAATTTGGATATACAAAATGAAATAGAATATATGTATTATGCATAGTAAGCATTTGCTCCTAAAACGTAAGATATGCAAGATGTATAATTATCTTTTTTATAAACTGTAGACATTTTGTAGAACGCTAGAGATGCCACCATGCCTATACAAATAGTTTGATATGATGACTTTTTCGTTTATGTGAAGATTTTCCCCACTTTCCTAACTGAATTCGTACTAGGCCGTCAGCGTTATTATTGGTTGCAAGAGTTAATTATATATCAACTCATGATCATAATGCTACAAAGTAATTTTTACCCCTATTATGAGCAAATGTTGTAATTGAGAATAACAATGTATTTAGTAATATATACAGTTATTTTCTAAACAGAGAATGACATTTTTGTAACATTTTGGAAATAGCAACATTAAATAATGTTCGCTTATATGGGAGCAATGCTGGATTATAACGCATCCGGGTCTTTTCTATTTGAAAGACCCTGAACGCATATAACTTATTTTACAACTCGCCAAAGATTGCCTGCCAATGAAATCGCTCTAAATTATTGCGTTTTTAAATTTTCCCGAAATATGCCACACAAAGTCTGAACTCAAACTTTATATTTATATTTATACATATTGAAATTTGAACCGATTTAATGAAACCTCCGGGCCTATTTATATACAGATACAACGAGAAAGTGTCTTGGCTTTAAATCTATAAATACCTCGGAAACAAATACGGATTGAAAGGAGAGATTCTACCACGTGGTTTGCATGTAAAAGAGATTATGTGTAGAAATTCAATTGTAAATATTTGACGTCCAAAAAGAAAAATCATATTGTCTGTTTCGGTAGTCACTTTATGATTGAAAATATGTTGACAACAATTTGTAATTTAAAATATGCCTCAATTGGGTGTAACAATTTTTTACATATTATAATTAGAAATAACAATTGTCAACAAACTCCAGCTATTTAAAATACTATTGTTTTACATGTTTTTAGTTTTATTAGGTAGCTAGGTTGAACCGAAATACCGCATTCTTTGCTGGTCGCAAACCCATTATGTTGGTTTTGTCGTGACGCGGCTCATATATCAAACTGAAGTTAAATGACGTCACTACACGTTAATAATAATATTATTTCCCGCACTTAAACTGTTTTTGAACAACAAATCGATATTTCGGATATAATGTCGTATTTTTACGGACACAACCGTGCAACCTGACCAAACAAACAAATTGTTTTTAAATAGTGATTTTTATTTGTTTAAATATTGAAAACAAAAAGCCTATTAGTTTATATAAATGTTGATCTTTTTTTTTCAATTTATTCTTTTTTAACCAACCTTCCTATCCGTATCTTTCAGTATAAATGGTTTATGATATCACATTAAGTATTTTACGCAAATGCTGTATCAAATTACTTGCATAAACTTATGGCGGACACTTCAATTGGTGCAATTTATTGTACCAGCTATCGGTACTTATTATACATGTACTTAATAAAAGCGTACAATATGTGTAATTTCAGAAGACATATTTTTCGGTCCTTACATATTACCATGTGAAGACCTACTTTTTTATTTATGGTGATTTTCATCAAGTTAAACGTGTAATTAACATAACGTTTTTATTTCTTGCGGATATCATATTAATATATGATTTGTTAATAGACTTTTATGTTAAAATCAAGCTATATACTAAAGTAGTTTTAATATTAATAAAATGTGAAACTTCTTACAAAAACTACTTGGGAGTTTATAATGTGTTGGCGAAGGCTGTTACATAAAGTGCACATAAAATACAAACGCGATCTTCAAGTTCATATAGTTTGTTTTGAGTGATCCGGAAATAAATCTCTTATCTCCGAGGCTTTCAAAAAAATTTGACATACTGGCTTATTTCTATGACTTTCCTGAAGTCGTCTTTTAGCAAAATTTACTTATATCCGTCTTTTTATTTTGCCAGCGAACAGACTACAGCAGCTAATTTACTTAGAACGGTTTGTTGTTTCGCGGCAAATGGACGACAATGTGCTCATTGACGTAGAGAGAGGCGGTTTGTCGCTAGTGAACAGACGATAATTAATACGCCGAATAATTTAAACAGTTGGTTGTCGCGCGACGGTTTATCGCTAGCGAATAAACGATATCACATCAGGTTGTTGTTGCGCGGTGCTAGCGAAAATGTAAGATTAAGTGAATCTGGCGAAAAGACCACGACAACAATGTGACTTAAACCATCTAACATTGACTTAAATTATAACACAAAAGAGAGCGTTTTTTTTTTCTTCTTCACTTCATATGATTACCAAACAAGGAGAAATTATGGTACGACAAATCCTGTTAGTTATCGCATGTCATTTAGTTCACATGCTGTCATGTGGTATAAGTCTGTCGTTTGGCGTTCTGTACAGGGAAATGAGGATCGAGTTCGGCACAAACTTCACAGAAGCTGCTTGGATCGCATCAATATTTAACGGGCTATTAGGATTCGTTGGTTATTATGTTTCTTCATTTTCTTTATAAAAATTAAAATGATTCTTATTAAAGATATATATATTTAGATTGTACAATGGCTGATTCATGCAAACAAGATTTCTTTAACTTATACATGTTTATTTATATAGGTATCCGATATATCCGCGACAGACCGTTCATAGTACTGTATGATAAAAGATTACTTAAATTACAATGGCTACACTTTCAAAGGCCTATTTATACAGTGATGACTAGCGCATATCAACCTCCCGAAAAATATGAGGTAGAAAGAAAAATAGGAAAAAAACTTTTCATATGGGTACCTCCTAATGTGTTTTCAATTTTTTTATCATTTCTTTTTCTAAGTTTCATTGTGGCTACATGTATTTCTCTCAGCTTCATTTCTTGTTTTATGTATTTATTTCCGATACATTGCGTATTCCTTATACTTCTTTCTGATTACTGTTATATAATTTCTTATTTTTTCTCAGTGCTGTACTTCTTTGTGATTTATTGTATTTATAAATGTATTTCATATTTTTTCTTTCTGGCTGTTTGTGTTATCCCTGTACTTCTTTCTGATTTATTTAGGTTCACCATGTATGACTTTCTGACTTATTTTATATTCCGTTTATTTTTTGTACTCTATTGTGCAATCTTTGTTTGTCTTTCTGATTTATTGTATATTTATTGGATTTCTTTCTGGTATTTCTTTTCTGATTTAATGTGTAATCGCCCGTGTAGTTCTTTTTGATTTATTTGGTTTACCGTGTATTACTTACTGATTGATTGTATATTCTATGTATTTGTTTTCTGATTTCATTGGTAGTCTCTGTAAACTTCTTTCTTCTAATCGTGACTTTCATATACAATGTGTTTCTTTCTGAATCATTTTGTATTTCATTATTTAATATCAGATTTTATATATGTTCTATGCATTTTTGCCGATTTGTTTTCTTTATTTATGAACTTGTCTTAGTTTCAATTGACATTCTAGGTATGCCTCTTAGTTTCATCGTCAATAGACTAGGTGAAAGATGGCCAACCGTGTTCGGTTCTCTACTGCTTGTTGTTGGTATGCTGACATCTATGTTTGCCACCGGGATAAGAACTGTATATATAACATACGGTCTAACTGCAGGTAATTATCACAATTTAAACTTCTTTACAAAGAACTTGCAATTAAAGAAATTGCCATTATTGATGCATATCTTTTGTTATTAACCATAATAGAAGTAGTAGAAGTAATATCTTTATTTATATCTCATTATTGCATATACATGATTTGAACATACATATATCTTTTAAAACAAAATAAATAGATGCAATGCCATTCCATATGGAATTATAAGAGGTGGCCATGAGAAATGACATTAATATCTAACAGTTTATCTAAACTAAGCATATGATATGAATAAGAAATATTCCGGAATTTTTTTTCTAAAAGTTCTGATATCACAGCTACTAAGGAGATGGTTTTTTAAACAGTGATTTTATAGAATCACCATATCTTCAATAAAGACTTGGTTAGACACGTTATCATGTTGTATTGTCATTTAATAAAACATTTTAAAAAAGGGGCTATGATTGCTCAAAGCGACTAAAACTGACATGCACATATTATTAGGTTTAGGAGCTGGTATCAATCATTACTGTGCGTATACGGTTATACCACCTCATTTCAACAAACGATGGCGTCCTGTTGCAGTCATGTTGGCTAGTGCTGGTGTTCCAATGGCCACGCTTGTCTTGCCGCCAATTCTCACAGTAATTATAGAAGCCTATGATTGGAGAAAAGCGTATATGTTTTTAGCTTGCTTATCGTTACTAGGACTTCCAGCAGCACTCATTTTTTATAAACAAGATGTTTCCAAGTGTGTTGAATCCGAGTCAAAGAATGGTATGATTTAGTATCTCAATTCTATCTTGATTTGTACTGTTATCATAATTTAAGTACAAGAATAAAGCGAAAGTATAACTTTACAAAAAAAAGCTCTTGCAGCAAATGATCTATGGCATTATCTCGATAAACATGTTTTGTTTGATAATTTTCAACATTGTGACCGTTAGATATTAACATTTAAATCTTAATATAAAGTGTAAGAAAGAACTGGTTTACAAAATTTTCGTAGGTCTAATGTTGTCGGTCTGTAAAATTTTATTATATGTCCTTCGCTATGATAAGCCACGTTTACTAGTAAGTCTTGTTTTTTGTATAAACAACGTTTACCTTCACTTGAATAAGATCATTTTGCTTTCTAGCAACCAATTCCGGGACATTGAGGGCATCAAGGTTTTGGAAGGATTCTAGCTACATTTTATACTTGACATCGACAGTTCTGATATATCTGATGTTATTTGTTCCTTCGACTTTTCTACCGGACCTCATGCATGAATTTGGCAGAAGTTCTCAAGACGTGTACATTTCATTAATGGCAATGGGTGTAGGCGATCTATCAGCAAGATTGTTATTCGGGTTTCTTGTTCAAAAGATACCGCGTAAATTGGCATTTATTCGCAGCGCGGGAGCAATGCTGTCTTGTGTTGCGTCATGTCTAATCACGAGGTCAAGGTCATTACTGATGTTTGCTATCTTCTCGGGATTAATTGGTGTTAGCATAGGTAAGGCATATTCTATTTGGAAGCCGCCTTTAGAAATACGGAGGACCTGTCTCACATTCCTTTTTCTGGAAGTCACTGATATATGCTTAAATGATGCTCAAAAAGTCGTACCGTAATCAAATGCAAAATAATTATTAATACTGTTATTTTATCACAAAAGTATTTTTAGTAAATATTTATAAAAAATAATAATATTGCATATGCTTAAATTGATTTCTCCCTAAAGATGTAGACTTGTCATCGTGAAATAAATTCTTTGCGGTTGTATTTTTTAAAAATGATAATAGTTTTCATTTAACTCTGCGTAGTATGATGTAAATTTGTGCTTTTATACGACTTAGTCCATTGACTATTGCACTGCCACTTATTTGTGTTCATATTGCTTCGTTTTCTTCTATGTTATTATTTAATAAATTAAATTTCTTTTTTTTCCGTTCGATTACAAAGTAATAGTCATGTATACAATGCAACTGATTGCTTTGCAGATAAGCTTTTGACAACGTATTGACAATATGCGTAGAAGTGAATGGAAATATTTAATTATCTATTACACTGAATACATTTCTTCCAAAAAGATCAATGAAGCTTGTCCCTTGCAATGATTAAATTGAATGTATACTAATTACAGAATAATGAGAAATGTAGTGTTTTTATCTATTTATTTAAATTCCAGGAATATGTTCGGGTTTGGCGTTTTACATGGCTGTACATTTACTGGCAGCAAAGGATGTAAGAGTTGGCTACGGTCTAGTATTAACATTAGGAGGATTTGCATTCGTAGCTGGTATCCCTATTGCTGGTTAGTTTCTTATTACAACTTTAACTAGAAATAAATAAAACAAATCAGTTGATCATTTGCATGTCTTATCAGTAACACATCAGTAATAACATTCACACTACTCTACAGTGAAAGCCGTGTCGCCAAAATGGTAACTGGTGCAAAGTAACTGTGCTCGTTCCAATACTAACAAATCATTTGTACTGATTTTTTAATAATTTGATTTTCGGTTTTAAAAATTATTGATCTGGTCTAATATAAAGAAACAATTTACAGTGACACAAAGTACATTTCTTTGCTTCTATCTTTGTAGAAACAAAGCTGAGAAGCCACCTAACAATACATTGGTTTTGCTTGCATTTTGCTTTTATCATGTTTATAGAAAGCCATATTCCATCAAATGGTTAACAGAACCATATCCACTGTTGCCTGTAAACATTTTAGCAATACTGAACTTTCTGATCATTATATACAATAAAGATTACAATCTACCTTACCTTACCGATTCTCTGTTATGGATTTGCCATGTTTTTGATTTGAAATTAATTTATATATAGGGATTTCAACATCAAAGTTCAAAATGTAATCTACCAACAATATACAGAGATCTAAACTGGTGCCAAAAGGCTAGTCATTGGTTAAGTGTTAGAACTATAAATGTAGTCTTTCGGCCGAAAAAAAAACAATGACAAAAATCAAATATACATAGGCGTATTAGTAAAGTTGACATCTAATGAGATTTAAATCAATATTATTGTTATTTTTTTAAATTGATATAATTTCAGGTTTTGTAATAGATACGTTCAGTACCGTGCGAGGGGCGTTTATTTTCACAGGTGTCGTAATTTTCATTTCTTCTATACTGGATTTTATCATAGGAATAAAGGAAAGATGTGGGAAGACGTCAAGTATGACATATGAAGTACAATCAGAAGTTAACAGAGGATATATAGATAAAGAGGACATACAGACCGATGGTGAGGCAAATAAAAGCGCGAGCTTGGAACAGTGCTCTCATTTATAATATTAATATATTAATACACAAACAAAAATTATACAAGTCATGATAACATGTATAATAATATGATAATAACTTTCATCCTATTTTAGTTCGAAGGCATAATTTTATGTATGTACAAAGTTACGACAATTTAAGCAAATTTCAATAATTTGACATTGACAGTCAATGTTATAGTTGAGTTACTGTACATATCAGTGTTGCTATAAGTGTTCTTTTGCCCAAGTATACATCAAATCCATACATAAATAACACAGATATGGCCAATTGTTGCGAAATTCAATAATTTTATATGAAGTGTCAAGGTCAAATTAAGGTCAATGTCAAGTTCAATTAAATCTTTTTTTATGTCTTGTCCCATACATTGTTAAGCACAAGTCTGGAGACAGTCTATTTAACACTGACAAAGTTATGGCCAATTGCAGCAAAAACAATAATGAAATAACAATAATCTGACCTTCAAGGTCAGTCATTTACGAGTCATTATCAATTTGGGTTGGTCAATTTTAAGGCATTGTCCATAACATAGATGAGCTCAAGTCTGAATAAAAAAGTTTTAACCAACTGTAACAAAATTGTAGCAATAGCCACTTTTTCTTCGAAAAGATCAAGCTTAAAATGAAGAAAAAATGTTTTAAATGAAAACTTGAGAGAGGATGCATGGTTTGGAAGTGTTTGGAAACCCACACTCGTCATTTTGGTTCCCCTTCACCAAGGAGATTACAGCATGGAATATAATACGTCGTTTAACCTGTGGAACTTTAGGCGCACTAGTATACAAAGCATTTAGTTTGGAAAAAGAATTAGGAAAACCCTTGATATGATATACTGTTAGCCACTTTACAATATGTAAAACATAGATATTTATTTTGAAGACGCTAATAAAAAAATATCTCTAAAAATGTGCCTTTGTATTTAAAATGGTTCTTGTTGTGTTTGATAAAATGCTAGTTTTATTCTGTTACTTTCGTACAGTTTTGCAAGCCATTTATTTCCACAAACTATATATAATATAGTATTATGTATATTACCAATGAAATCAAATTTTATTTCAAAGTTTCATGCTGATACCTCCTGTTGTTTCAAAGTTATGTCCCAGACAACAATAGCGGACAGACGGACGGACGAAGCGGCGACTATATGCTCACCCTTCGAGAAGCATAATAATCAGACAACCAATATGACATCACTTTCTTTTGTAATGAAACTATGTCAGGTAGACAATATACATACTAAATGTATAGTGAATGTTGACCAAGATAAAAAAAAATGAGATGTTTCTTTCACTATACATGCATTATGTCAACATTTCGGCGGCAGGTATTGGATTGTTTCTGCGTTTTGAATGTGACAGGGTCATTAAATAATCATTATCTTCTATAAAATAAATGCTAGAATGGAAAACATTAGTACTTTATTCATAGCTTTCAAACTAAACCCTTCAGGTAGTTTTCCATGACGGGTTCCAGTCAATACCAAGTCTTCATATAACAATCATGGTAGTATGATCCAGATATCCATGACGGAAATAAAAAATGTTTTGTTAATTTGAAATACTTTGAGAATAATTACAAAGTTATTGATCAATAAAACCAGTTAAAAAGGTCATTTGAAATGTTACAAAGCATTAATTGTATAATATAATTTTGTGCAAATTGATGTTTGAAAATATGCCAAGAAGTATTTTTTCATTTAATTCATTAAACAGTCAAACAAAGATGGTTTTAAGATATAAATAAGAACAATTTCAATCAATAATTTTTATTCCTCATTAACAAGCAAGTCATATATACAAAGATTTCAAAAATTCATGATTATATTAAATTGACAAAGTATTTAATGATCAAACATACTTAAGATATACCCTTACCCTCCAAAATCTGTGTTTAACACCTGCCCTGCTTTGTATTCAAAACTAATAACACAAGGTAATGGAACGGTTTTCACTAAGTCAAGGGGCAATAAATCCACAAGTGAAACCCCAGGTGCACAACTTCACATGCTAAGCAACATTCCTGTAAAGTTTCATGACACTAGATCAAATTCTTTTTGAGTTACATGCGACACAAGTTGAAAATCGTAAATTTTTACAAAGTCAAGGGCAATAACTCTAAAAATACCAAACATATCTACATGAAAATACCAAGGTTCACAACTACCCATGCTGATCAACATTTCTGTACAGTTTCATGACTCTAGGTCAAATACTTTTGAGCTACATGTGACAAAAGTTGAAAATTGCAAATATTTACTAAGTCAAGGGTAATAACTCTAAAAAAACAGAACAACAGAATCAGATATACCCTAATCCTCCAAAATCTGTGTTTAACAACTGCCCTGCTTTGTATTCATAACTGCCCATTGTTGGTTCAAGGAATTTCAGTGCAAAACACTTGCTCTGCTTTCATTCAAAATTGTCCATTGTTTGGTTAAATGAATTTTAGTGCAAAACACTTGGCCAGCTTCAAAACTGTCAATTGTTGGTTCAAGGAATTTCAGTGCAAAACACATTGCCCTGCTTTGAATTTAAAACTGTCTTTTGTTTAAGTTAATATAAATATCATAATGTCTATTGTTTAAAGATTTGCTTTTATTCAAAACTGGTCATTGTTTAGTTAAATGAATTTTAGTGCAGAACACTTGGCCAGCTTTAAATTCAAAACTGTCCATTGTTGGTTTTAGGAATTTCAGTGGAAAACACTTGCCCTGTTTTGAGATCAGAACTGTCCATTGTTGGGTTAAGGAAAGTCAGTGCAAACACATTGCCCTGCTTTGAATTTAAAACTGTCCTTTGTTTAAGTTAATGTAAATATCATAATGTCTATTGTTTAAAGATTTACGACAGGTTCTTTATTAAACACAGAATACATTTTTGCTTAAAGTTCATTTTATTTTTACTTGCTGAACCCTAAAGTTTTAAAAGACTTTGAAATTTGTTAACTGCATTTAGGCATATAATTACATAAATATCTAAAATCACATTTAGACGAATCAAAGGTCAAAATTTAAACTTTAGTCAGTGATAGCAAATTCTTGGTATTTCCTCTTCTTTGCCTTCTTAGAAGGTTTATATTGTTCTATTTTCCTCTTTTTGGCCTCAATCTTGTTCAAATTCTTTTTCAACTTTCTCTTTGCATGCAGCTCTGGATTAGCAACAGCCTATAATGATATATTAATATTTCTATTTATAAAATGTTCTTTAGATAATATTTTTTACATTCTTTATACATGTAACATTTCTATCAGGAAAAGTAAAGGTCATTCTTTGTGAAGTTTTGATACATTTGAGCCGCGTCACGACAAAACCAACATAGTGGGTTTGCAACCAGCATGGATCCAGACCAGCCTGCGCATCCGCGCAGTCTGATCAGGATCCATGCTGTTCGCTATCAGTTTCTCTACTTGTTATAGGGTTGGTAAGCGAACAGCATGGATCCTGACCAGACTGCGCGGATGCGCAGGCTGGTCTGGATCCATGCTGGTCGCAAACCCACTATGTTGGTTTTGTTGTGACGCCGCTCATTTGTGCTCAAAACACATTTCAGGCATGGGTATACACCATGATAAGAACCATAAGCTTGCATAAAAGGCGAATCCATAAAATGTAGGTGACTTCTGTACAACTGACATTCTGTTAGCCTGAAACATTGCTTGGTTTTTAAGTTTGTCACATTAAAAGATGAAACATATTCTTGATTGCAACTCAAGATTAAAAAACATTCTTCTAAAATATTTGCAACATTTTGTTTGTTTGTCTGGTCTTTTGTATCGTAAATCAAAGGTTGGTCCATCAAACTGTCTGACCTGGATAACTAAATAGGTAACCAGTAATTACCAATTTCTCAGCAAGTGACTGACTATAGTCAATTCAATACTTATTTTAGAATGTTAATAATATTACTTTATATAAGAGCAATATTATGCTTATATGTTTGCATTTACATAATAATATTTTTTTCCAAGATTTCGTAGAATGAACTAGTGAAAACCTTACATTTTCTCATTTCATAATCTCATTATAAATATTGCCAAGAGAGGATCCTGCACCTTTCACTTAGTATGATATATAATTAACAAGAACTGTCAGCAGGACAACATGCTTAACTAGTCTCAGCACTTGATAGTAAAACAAGAGCCAGATAATGTAGTTTGTTCAAAAAGGGCCATAATTCTGTCAAAGTCCATGTTACAGTTATGGGCCTTGAACAGTGACCAATTATGATATCAAATATGTGTGTGAAGTGTTTCGAACCATTCCCATCAGTAGTTCTGAAGATACCAACTTGCATGCAAAATCTTAAACGAAGTGAGATGCCGAAGTTGATACCTTGGCGAGTACAAAAGCTCTCCTAATTCTTAAATTAGTCGAACTAAAAATGCTTGAAATCTTTTGTATAGAGAATCTATACGGTACATGTACATCACCTGAAATGCTCTCTGTCGTTTCCTCTCATCTCTTCTCTCAGCTCTCACTTTCTGTGTGCTGGCATAGGAACCTGTGAACTTCTCTACCCCGACAGTCTTCTTCAACAAGTCAACAACTTCTTGAGCTAAACTTCTCAAACTAGCATCTATAATTGTAACATGTGTAATGTAATATATTAAGAATGTATGTTAAACTAGCATCTGTAATGTATATGATTATCTTATTTCACATAATTAAGTCGTTATTTCATTTTGTCTTGTATATGTATGGTGTTTTCCCAAAAAAATTATTTATCAGCAATGTGTTTGTCAAAGTGTATTCTTTAAAAGCATTTCCATACATATTCATAGGTGTTTTGAGATATTATCTCAATGAACAATGCACACATACATCAATAAGCTTATTGTTGTTTATCAGTTTTAATGACAATGCTAATGTATCTTGTATAAATTTGGTGAAGTTAATGTAAGAGTTACGTACCCTGATACATGGACTGGTCATTCAGTTCTCTCTGCAGGGGAGGTAACATTGAGTTTAATACATTTGTTTCCATATTATCTCCCATATCCACTGACACAGCTGCCAGCCACTTGAATACATGAATCCTCTGAAATGAAAGTGACAAATTTTTATTACAAATCCTCTTAAATCTGGAAGAAAGACATATTCAAATTGAGGTACAATTACGGTTCTTTCTGACCTTGAAGTTATTATAAAAAACAAGAGGGCCATGATGGCCCTGAGTCGCTCACCAGAAACAACTGCTTTTCAGTGATGAAAATTATTTTTCAAAAGAACTTACTGAAAGGCAAGTCCAGCTCTTTTGACAAGTTCAGCTCAACTTTAACTTGCCCCTCTAGTAATATACCTTCACAACCCTGATTGTTTTAGCTTTTTTTTTCTTCATAATAAACAATAGGGCCACTAAGATGAATATTTTGCCCTAATATTTTGGAAAGGATTTGTATGTATGATGCAAGTGTGTTCCTATGAGACTATGAAGAATAAATGCAGAATAACTGACCACTAGAGCACGATTAATTTTGATTGGACAATTTTTTTCATAACTTTTTTGAATGACGAGCGATCAGTAATCACATGTGTCGCCTCATGATGGCCAATTTCATGTTGGGACAAGTTTTGTGACAGACGGACAGACAGACAGACAGTGCACAACTAGACTTGGTACTGATCATTCCTGTAAAGTTTGGATAAAATTGCACCAGTAGTTTATGAGGAGTAGTCCGGACAAGCTTTTGTGTATCTGGCAACACACAGAAAAAAACACCTTTTTTTCAAAGGGCCCTAACTCTGCCAAAAATCATTCAACCGGAAAACACGTGCAATATGTGCAACAACTTGAGCTACAGATCAATCCTGTAAAGTTTCATTGAAATTGCATTAGTGGTATAATAGAAGTAGTCCGGACAAACTTTAAAAATAAAAATTATTAAAGGGCCATAACTCTGACAAAAATCATTGAACCGGAAAATGCTGACAATATGCACAACTACACTTGGTACTGATCATTCCTGTAAAGTTTGGATGAAATTGCACCACTAGTTTATGAGGAGTAGTCTGGACAAGCTTTTGTGTATCTGGCAACACACAGAAAAAAACACCTTTTTATCAAAGGGCCATAACTCGGCCAAAAATCATTCAACCGGAAAACCCGTGCAATATGCGCAAGGACTTGAGCTACAGATCAATCCTGTAAAGTTTCATTGAAATTGCATTAGTGGTATAAGAGAAGTAGTCCGGACAAACTTTAAAAATAAAAATTATTAAAGGGCCATAACTCTGACAAAAATCATTGAACCAGAAAATGCTGACAATATGCACAACTAGACTTGGTACTGATCATTTCTGTAAAGTTTGGATGAAATTGCACCAGTAGTTTATGAGGAGTAGTCCGGACAAGTTTTGTGACGGACGGACGGACAGACAGACAGACGACAGAGAAGTGATCCCTATATGTCGCCACTACTCCGTAGAGGCGACACAAAAACACAAAATGTCACATGCTAAACATGTAAGGTGTAGATGTTTGAAGTTCACTGTTTGGGACAACAAATTTTTTATACATTCTGTATGGTAACATAACTGTACCTCAAAAAAAGACAATAGGTCAAACATTGTAAAAAATATGAAAAGTAGGCCAGTTGATATCAAAATTCAATTCAGCATCAGAAATTACACCCCTAGTCCAAATTTCAAGTCCGTAAGTCAAAAAACACAAGAATGAACGTCAAATTATATCAAACATATCAAAAGTAGGTCAGTTGATATCAAAATTCATTTCGGCATCAGAATTTATAAACCTGGTCCAAATTTAAAATCTGAATGTCAAAATATAAGAAAGTAGGTCAAATGGTGTCAATAATACCTAAAGTAGGTCATCTGGTATAGAAATTGAATTCAACATCAAAAATTACACAAATTACACCCATAGTCCTAATTTCAAGTCTGTACATAAAAAGACAAAAAAGTAGGTAAAGCAATCTCAAATATATCAAAAATAGGCCAGTTCATATCAAAATTCAATTCAGGATCAGAAATTAAACCCCTTGTCTCTTGTTAATTCAACAAAAAAAAAAAATGAAAAAATTACAATTTTTAACAAAATTCAATAAAAAAATTGAGCATACATCTTTGATAGTAAAATACAGGAGAAACAAATTTTATGTTTCTTTAGGCCTATTTTTTCCCTGGTTAATGACCTACAACTGACGTTACAATAATGCAATATGATGTCCGAATTCCAGAGCTGAAAGATATTTACACATCATAAACAGGTCATGACCCAAGCCATTGAAATTTATGAAATTCTTACTGAAAATGTCTTATTTGGATAAAAGAATTAAAAACATGGCAATGCCATGAAACCAGGTTTTCAATTATCACCATTGTAGATAAATATGTTGTATTTGAAATACAAATACAAGCAACAAACAATGTAACTATGTGCAATGTAAAACATGAATAATGTAGGAGGAATTGCCACTGAAGAAGTGTTCACTATAATATTATGTATAAGGAAAAAAACAAAGGGCCATAATTAGGTCAAAAACTATCCAATCACAAAACCCCGACAATATGTGCCAGGGTGCTTGATGACAAAGCTTCTGTGAAAGTTTGAACAAAATCCGTTGAGAAATGTAGGACGAGTTCAGCACAGAAGAATTTGTTCACTATAATTATATTGATAATTCTGTATAATGAAAAACAAGTTACAAAGTAGACATGAAATAATATATCATATCTTTTTTAAATTACCTCCAAAGATGATATGACCTTTGACTGCCAAATCAAGTTAAAATCATGTAAACAGGATTTTCAATGTTAATGTCACTGTGACCTTGACCTTGGAGCCAGCCATGCGGAACATGCGTTATGCACGTCATCTTGATGTGGTAAACATTTGTCTGAAGTTTCATCAAAATTCTTCAAAGGGTTGAAGAGTTACAGAGCGGACAGGATTTTCAATGTTAATGTCACTGTGACCTTGACCTTGGAGCCAGCCATGCGGAACATGCGTTCTGCACGTCATCTTGATGTGGTAAACATTTGTCTGAAGTTTCATCAAAATTCTTCAAAGGGTTGAAGAGTTACAGAGCGGACACAATTTCGTTTGACGCCCGCCCGCCCATCCGCCCGCCATACCCCAATCTAATAACCAGGATTTTCAAAATTGAAAACCTGGTTAATAAACTATGCATGGGAAGCTGCATATGCTATAATAGGCCAAGTAAAGATGGTCTTTTCTATAAAAAAAAAAAAAAAAACAACAGTTTTTTTAATGACACTTAGTAATAATCATTATATTTATACTGTGACCACCTATAGTGTGAAGAGTTTAAAGCATAACATATCTACTTTGTGTGAAGTCAAAACATGTTTATTTTATATTTATAAAGAGACTGTGTATCCATTGTCAATATTTTCTACTATTAAAATTAGAGCATAGAATATCTTTACACTTTAATTTGAAGAAATGCCATGACCTAGTGCATTTAAGCTTTAGCTTTAACAGGGACAATCAAATTAATATCACCAAACTTGATATAAGACTACCCAAGAATGCTACAAAGTTTGGTGATCATCCATCAATTAGTTCTATGGATTAAGATGTCTAAAGGTTTTTCTATTTTTAGCCCTAGAGACCCCTAAAAGGGGCCAATCAAATTAATATGATCAAACTTGATAAAAGACTACCCAAGAATGCTACAAACAAAGTTTGGTGATCACCCATCAATTAGTTCTGTAAAAGAAGATGTTTAAAGGTATTTCTATTTTTAGCTATAGCAGCCCTTAAAAGGGGCCAATCAAAATAATATGAGCAAACTTGATAAAAGACTACCCAAGAATGCTACAGACAAAGTTTGTTGATCATTCATCAATTAGTTCTGTAGAAGAAGATGTCTAAAGGTTTTTCTATCAAATCAAATTAATATGATAAAACTTGATAAAAAGCTACCCAAGTAGGCTACAGACAAAGTTTGGTGATCATCCATCAAATAGTTCTGTAGATATAAAAGTATTTCTATTTTAAGCTTAAGCGGCCCCTACAAGGGGCCAATCAAATTAATATGAGCAAACTTGATAAAAGACTACCCAAGAATGCTACAGACAAAGTTTGGTGATCATCCATCAATTAGTTCTGTAGAAGAAGACGTTTAAAGGTATTTCTATTTTTAGCTTTAGCGGCCCTTAAAAGGGGCCAATCAAATTAATATGAGCAAACTTGATAAAAGACTACCCAAGAATGCTACAGACAAAGTTTGGTGATCATCCATCAATTAGTTCTGTAGAAGAAGACGTTTAAAGGTATTTCTATTTTTAGCTTTAGCGGCCCCTAAAAGGGGCCAATCAAATTAATATGAGCAAACTTGATAAAAGACTACCCAAGAATGCTACAGACAAAGTTTGGTGATCATCCATCAATTAGTTCTGTAGAAGAAGATGTCTAAAGGTTTTTCTATTTTTAGCCCTAGAGACCCCTAAAAGGGGCCAATCAAATTAATATGAGCAAACTTGATAAAAGACTACCCAAGAATGCTACAGACAAAGTTTGGTGATCATCCATCAATTAGTTCTGTAAAAGAAGATGTTTAAAGGTATTTCTATTTTTAGCTTTAGCGGCCCTTAAAAGGGGCCAATCAAATTAATATGAGCAAACTTGATAAAAGACTACCCAAGAATGCTACAGACAAAGTTTGGTGATCATCCATCAATTAGTTCTGTAGAAGAAGATGTCTAAAGGTTTTTCTATTTTTAGCCCTAGAGACCCCTAAAAGGGGCCAATCAAATTAATATGAGCAAACTTGATAAAAGACTACCCAAGAATGCTACAGACAAAGTTTGGTGATCATCCATCAATTAGTTCTGTAAAAGAAGATGTTTAAAGGTATTTCTATTTTTAGCTATAGCAGCCCTTAAAAGGGGCCAATCAAAATAATATGAGCAAACTTGATAAAAGACTACCCAAGAATGCTACTGACAAAGTTTGGTGATCATCCATTAATTAGTTCTGTAGAAGAAGATGTTTAAAGATATTTCTATCTTTAGCTATAGCGGCCCTTAAAAGGGGCCAATCAAATTAATATGAGCAAACTTGATATAAGACTACCCAAGAATGCTACAGACAAAGTTTGGTGATCATCCATCAATTGGTTCTATAGAAGAAGATGTCTAAAGGTTTTTTCTATTTTTAGCCCTAGTGACCCCTAAAAGGGGCCAATCAAATTAATATGAGCAAACTTGATAAAAGACTACCTAAGGATGCTACAGACAAAGTTTTGTTATCATCCATCTTTTAGTTCTGTAGTAGAAGATGTTTAAAGGTTTTTCTATTTTTAGCTCTTCTGACCCATAAAAGGAGCCAATTGAAATGACATGAGCAAATTTAAGTGTGACTGTCACAAGGATGCTACAGACCAAATTTTAGTTAAATCTGCCCTGCAGTTTCAGAGAAGACGATTGTTGACGCATGACGACAGACGACGGACGCCAGAGTATCCCCCTTTTGATACTAATAGCTCATCCTGAGCCTTCGGCTCTGGTGAGCTAAAAATCTGAGTTTGGTCTGACTCCTCAGGATTTTCATTGAACAGCATACTCTCTATACTGGTTTCTGACCAATCAAATGTCATAGATCTGAGTTTGAGCTCAGAAAGATTCTTTATGACATTACACAAGAGCTGTATATTATTTTAGGAATGTGTACTATAATCCAACACTTTGCAGTGACTGAAAGATAACATTTTGCCAAATCAGCATTTCCAGCTCAAACCTTATATGAGGAAGCTAGGTTATGTAAGGTCAGTGATTCTTTTGAGTATAAATTAAAGCAAGGAAGGGCTCATAAGGTCTTCCTCTATCAGTAATGTTATGATAACTAGAACTGCCACTATCATGGCGTGAATACCCCTGCATACCACTTTGTCAGAATCAACAGTGGCCATTTAGAGCTCAAGGACAACCTCCCTACCAAATCTGAGGTTACTAAGCCAGTGCATTGCTAAGTTATGTATTCTACATGCTTCAAATGTGAAAATGTCAAAATCAATACATTGCGGACAGGACATTCTTTAGCAATTGAGAAGAAAAGCTTTTTTTTGTCAAGGTCCCTGTGACCTTTGACCCAGTTGACCTCAAAATCAATAGGGGTCACCTTATAGTCATGATCAACATCCATGCCAAATATGAAGACTGTGGGTCAAAGGAATCTTAAGTTAATGGGTGGACAAACTTTTTGAAGTCAAAGTCCCTATGACCTTGACCTTTGATCCAGTGACCTCAAACTCAAAAGAGGTCATCTACTAATCATGACTAACCTCCATGCCAAATATGAAGACTGTGGGTCAAAGGAATCTTAAGTTATAGGGCGGACAAGCTTTTTAAAGTCAAGGTCCCTGTGACCTTGACCTTTGACCTGGTGACCTCAAAGTCATTAGGGGTCATCTACTAATCATGACTAACCTCCATGCCAAATATGAAGACTGTGGGTCAAAGGAATCTTAAGTTACATGGCGGACAAGCTTTTTGAAGTCAAGGCCCCTGTGACCTTGACCTTTGACCTGGTGACCTCAAAGTCAATAGGGGTCATCTACTAATCATGACTAACCTCACTGCCAAATATGACGACTGTAGGTCAAAGGAATCTTAAGTTATTGATAGGACAAGCTTTTTGAAGTCAAGGGCCCCTGTGACCTTGACCTTTGACCTGATGACCTCAAAATCAATAGGGGTCATCTACTAAATCATGACTAACATCCATGCCAAATATGAAGACTATTGGTCAAAGGAATCTTAAGTTATTGGGCGGACAAGCCTTTTGAAGTCAAGGCCCCTGTGACCTTGACCTTTGACCTGGTGACCTCAAAATCAATAGGGGTCATCTACTAATCATGATTAACCTCCATGCCAAATATGACGACTGTAGGTCAAAGGAATCTTAAGTTATTGGGCGGACAAGCTTTTTGAAGTCAAGGCCCCTGTGACCTTGACCTTTAACCTGGTGACCTCAAAATCAATAGGGGTCATCTACTAATCATGACTAACCTCCATGCCAAATATGAAGACTGTAGGTCAAAGGAATGTTAAGTTATTGGGCGGACAAAGCTTTTTGAAGTCAAGGCCCCTGTGACCTTGACCTTTGACCTAGTGACCTCAAAATCAATAGGGGTCATTTACTCATCATGACTAACCTCCATGCCAAATATGAAGACTGTGGGTCAAAGGAATCTTAAGTTATTGGGCGGACAAGAAACAAGAGGGCCATGATGGCCCTGAGGTCGCTCACCTGTATATAGGCCCCCCCCCCCAACGTTGCAGGGCCAATTTAACCCAAGGGCTTATATTAGCACAAACTCTGTAGACACCCATAAGAAGATGTTTCATGCTAAACATCTAAGCTCTAGCTCATTGGGCTTTTTGAAAGAATATTTTTTTAAAGTTTTTACTATACACATATAGTTAAAAACAATGACACTACTGGGGCCGGGCCAGTTTTGACCCCAGGGCTTTTATTTGAACAAACTTTGTAGACACTTACTAGAAGATGTTTCATGCTTAATATCTAAACTCTAGCTATTTGGGTTTTTTCAAAGAATATTTTAAGTTTTTGCTATACACATATAAAGAAAATCAATGACCCCCTGGGGCAGGGCCAATTTTTACCCCAGGTCTTTTATTTGAACAAACTTTATAGACACTCACTAAAAGATGTTTCATGCTGAATATCTTAACTCTAGCTATTTGGTTTTTTTCAAAGAAGATTTTTTAAGTTTTTGCTATACACATATAAGGAAAATCAATGACCCCCGGGACGGGGCCAATTTTGACCCCAGGGCTTTTATTTGAACAAACTTGGTAGACACCTATTAGAACATGTTTGATGCTAAATATCTTAGCCATAGCTCTTTGATTTCTTTAAAAGAAGATTTTTTAAGTTTTTACTATATGCATATAGGGAAAATCAATGACCCCCCGGGGCGGGGCCAATTTTGACCCCAGGGCTTTTATTTGAACAAACTTGGTAGACACTTATTAGAACATGTTTCGTGCTTAAATATCTTATCTCTAACTCTTTTGGTTCTTTAAAAGAAGATTTTTTAAGTTTTTACTATATGCATATAGGGAAAATCAATGACCCCCTGGGCGGGGCCAATTTTGACCCCAGGGCTTTTATTTGAACAAACTTGGTAGACACCCATTAGAACATGTTTGATGCTAAATATCTTAGCCATAGCTCTTTGGGTTCTTTAAAAAATTTTTTTTAAAGTTTTTACTATATGCATATAGGGAAAATCAATGACCCCCTGGGGCGGGGCCAATTTTGACCCCAGGGCTTTTATTTGAACAAACTTGGGAGACACCTATTAGAACATGTTTGATGCTAAATATCTTAGCTCTAGCTCTTTGGGTTCTTTAAAAGAAGATTTTTTAAGTTTTTACTATATGCATATAGGGAAAATCAATGACCCCCTGGGGCGGGGCCAATTTTGACCCCAGGGCTTTTACTTGAACAAACTTGGTAGACACTCACTAGAAGATGTTTCATGCCAAATATCTAAGCTCTAGCTCTTATGGTTTTTTAAAAGAAGATATTTAAAGTTTTTTCTTTCGGTTGCCATGGCAACCAGAGTTCTGCATGGAATTAAATTCTTTGAACAATTTTTAAAGGTGACCACCAAAGGAACATTCCTGTGAAGTTTGGATGAAATAGGCTAAGTGGTTTATGAGGAGATGTCATTTAAAGTAAAAGTTTACGGACGGACGACGGACGCCGGACGGACGGACGGACGCCGGACGAAAAGCGATCACAAAAGCTCACCCTGTCACTTTGTGACAGGTGAGCTAAAAACCGACGGACGGACGGACAAGCTGATTCCAGTATACCCCCCTTACAACTTTGTTGTGCGGGGGTATAATAAGTATAACCATTAACCTGCCAGTACAACTTAAAACCTTTCAAAAGAAATACAATTACAATCTCCCTGAGTATTTCTTAAATCATCTTGCTTGTTTTTCGTTGCTTTTTCCTAATTTCCTAATGTCTGCTATACAACTGACATCATCTCCTTACCTTAATTATCATCTTGTTGTTATTTATTGCCTCATGATTTGCTTCTCTCACCATCTTCCTAACCAACCAGACCACAGATAGACCTTTCTCCTTCTCCTCGTCCTCCTCTATGTCCCCTCTCTCTTGCTCTACCTTGGCCATTTGCCTTGCACATTTCATTAAGAATATCATGTTCTTAATTACCTGCAAAATAGTTATGTAACACTGCAATGTTTGGAAAAATAATTAAATTAACTTTTATGCTTTAAAATTGTTCATGATAAAAGTCAAATAAAATCCTTCTAGATAATCCTTTTTCTAGATAATCCTAAGGTTTAATCAAGCATTTATCCTGCATGTGTGAATTTATAGTTCTGTCTAAACACTATTAATGATTTGATACCTAGAACAGGTACAACTCTTTTTATCTACAAAATAGAATATTATTTTACCTGATAACCAATGACAACACTTAATTTAGGGTATGGAATTGTCCAACTTTGACATATAACTGCCTAGGAATAACAACAAAATACTTAAAACAATAATCAGCAATTAGCCTAGAGCTTGGTTGAGCCTGACTCTAACCAATACTGGTGACACAGGTAAGTTATTATTGTAGATAGCATTGGACATCAACTACTACATACCTGGTTAGCAAGTTCATCATTTAGAAGCTCAGACTGTAACTGTGCTAAGAAATCATTGGCTAAAGTTCTCAACTGAAATCAAAATCATATGTATGATATAATATCATTAAATGTCTGTGAAACACATAAACACATATAATGGGCACAAAGCTAGATCATTTAGACATCAAAATGATACAACTTGGGGAAACCGTCTGCCACGTAGGCCATGCATCTGAAGACCAAGACGAGTAAACTGTAGACTGGACTACTCAATATCCTGACAGTACCAGCCATAATCGGCAGGATGTTATCCCACCCAGCAACTTTTATTCAATTATCTTACATATTGTAAGTTCAAAATAAAAATTAGAACAGAAACATATTTAAAAAAGATGTTTTAGTCAGCAAATTTGCTTAATTGTAATACTAACAGAAAATTGATTAATACATCATTACAAATGATTAATGGTTTGTTCAAATCAACTTAATTATACATCTGAAAACAACCTAGAAAACATAAATACTTAATTCTAACGGACTTCATGCTATTCCTCTATCAAACAGATACGACAATCAAGTGCATTTTTACACAATATATGCCCAACATAAAAAATGAATGCTTACACGACATATGTCAGATATAAACCAAATGACGTCAGGAAAATAACATCTACGCTCAATGTAGTTCAACATATTTTTATCAATTCTCTTTTTATTAGCATGTTAGAATGGAAATAGATATTAATTTTTCATGCATTATAGTATAATTATAATGAAAAGATTTCCGTTCAAATATTTTGTAATTAAGCCTTCAGGCCTATAAGCCTTCATAATTATATTCCTACACATTTGAATTCAAACCCGGCATTATACTTCAACAATGCACTCAAAATTGATATCTATTTCCTAAACATTCAATTTTGATAACATATAATATATTTATCTTGAATAACACAAGTGTATAACCTACCTTCTTATATGTGTCTGTAGTTATATACTGAGTAGATGTTTTGGTTTCCATAGTAACCAACTGTTCAGGTTGCCAAGCAGCAAACAATAGTCCAAACAATTGAGCAGCAGCCAGCTGTACCCAGATGTGAGCATAACTAAGATATGACTCTACATGCTCTGAAAATATAAACATCAAATCTTTTATCATTGAATATAAAGTAAACGCATCATTTCACGTGGACAGCATGTATGATATAAATGGTAGCCTTGGGATACAGTGAAAGAAGACATGCCCCCAGAAAGCACACTCTACTTTTTTAAGTGTAAAATTGTATATCAATTATCAGTGAATATAAAACAAATGCATAATTTGATATAAATGCATGTATCTGAAACTTTCTCCCACTCTATGCTTATTTCATAGAAAACTTATGCTAGAATGTGTGTACTTACCCCATATAACATTCATGCTAGACTCCCATTTAGGACTCGTTACAACCTGACTACATTCACGCAGTATTTTCAGTAAGGTATTCAACGTGTGATATATCATTAAATCTTGGTCATGTTCCAGTGATGCTTCTTCCGCCTACAATACAACAACATAATTTTATCTATCATACATTTAAACTTGTATATAGCAAGTTTATGACTTCTTGTAAACTAGCTCTTGGGGCATCCATGGCCAAGTGCTTAAGGTCATTAACATCAAACCATTTGCATCTCACGATGTGAGTTGGAATCCCGATAGGGACTTTGGATTCTTTCATGTGAGGAAGCTATCCAGCTAGCTTACTGAATGTCGGTGGTTCTACTCAGGTGCATTCATGCCTAAAATAATGCATGGAGGGGCATCTGAGGTCTTCCTCCACCAGTAAAGCTGGAATGTCGCCATATGACCTATACTGTGTCAGTGATGTTAAACCCAATCAAACAAACAAACAAACTAGCTCTTTGTTTCAATCTCTTTTACACATACAACAAGAGCTGTCACCCATGTGACGAATGCCCCCAAAAAGTTTCTTAAGCATGCAGGTATTATGAAAAGAAAAGAGAATGAAAGTAACTAATGGGTGAATATTGTTCTTGATAGCATGAACCTTCAAAATATAAGTGTGACCATGACCTTATAAGAAGAGACGTGGTTCCTAGACGCGACAAAATGTTGTTATGAGATTGACATGTGTGCCAAATTATTTCAAAATCCCTCAATGCATGACAAAGTTACAGTCTGGACATGATTGTTGTGTAAGTGGGGACACACGGACATGAGCCTTAGCCGTGACTCATTGTCTTGATTTGGTAGACATTTGCGCCTAGTTATTTTAAAATCCTTCCATGCATGACATAGTTACAGCCCGGACACCAATGTGTGTACCTATAAACTCTTATTGTGATAAAGTTAAACTTCAAAAAGATAATGTGACCTTGACCTTTGAGGTAGAGACGTAATTCTTGAACACGACACATCGTCTTGATGTGGTAGACATTTATGCCAAGTTATTTTAAAATCATTCAATGCATGACAAAGTTACAGTCTGGACACGAATGTGTGTACCTTTTTCCTCTAATTGCGATAATGTGAAACTTTAAGATGATAGTGTGACCTTGACCTTTGAGGTAGAGACTTAATTCTTGGACGCGACACATCGCCTTAATGTGGTAGACATTTATGCCTAGTTATTTTAAAATTATTCAATGCATGACAAAGTTACAGTCCGGACTCAAATTAAGTGGGGGTGCGCAGACAGACGGACAGACGAACAAGGTAGGGATGTAATTCTTGGACGCGACACATTGTCTTGATGTGTAAACATTCGTGCCAAGTTATTTAAATTCCTCCATGTATGACAAAGTTACAGTCCGGACACGAATTAAGGTACTCTAATTGCAATAATGTGAAACTTCAAAATGATAGTGTGACCTTGACCTTTGATGTAGGGACGTAATTCTTGGATGCAACACATCGTCTTGATGTGGTAGACATTTGTGCCAAGTTGTTTCAAAATCCCTCTATGTATGACAAAGTTACAGTCCGGACATGAATTAAGTGGGGACGCACAGACGGACCAGGTAGGGACGTAATTCTTGGACCCAACACATCGTCTTGATGTGGTAGACATTTGTGCCAAGTTATTTCATAATCCCTCTATGTATGACAAGTTACAGTCCGAACAGGAATGAAGTGAGGACACACAGATGGATGGATGGATGGATGGACAGATGGTGCAATTATATTATGCCTCCCTTTGGGGGCATAAAAATGCTACAATGTATTTATTAGTCAAGTTTAGCACCAAGCCTGAATAACTGACTTACCACTAAGAAACAAAAATATTGCACTAATGCTTTCTATTTACAATTTCATGTGTACAGTCTAGTAATTATACCCATTTCCTTGCTGTTTAACTTAATACATGTATATTTTAAGATAATACATAGAATTAAGGAATCTTAACATGAAAGTGAAAATTGCACAAAACTTTAATGTCCATGGTATCAACTGGTTCTTAACATAGAGCTATTACTAAAATTGAGTTTTTTATAGAAGACCATCACTACATATAGGAGATGATAGTTTGGTTTGTTTTGGTTGACTGGTGTTAAAGCCAATGTTACTACATTCTTAGTCGTATCAATACAGTTGAAGCACCTAGCCACCTTTCCTGGCTAACTCACCAACATATCATTTATAAATCAGCTGTCAGAGACAAATGACCATTGCACTCAGTTGTTTTGGAGAAATTTTGCCTTGCCATAGGATCTTACCATCAACATATGGATTACAAATTTGATGCTCCCCCTTATGAGCAAAGCCTGCCGACTAGGTGATTCTTCTAACAAAATAACAAAGCTATAGAACAGGAACAAAAGTGGGCATGTGTGATAAGGAAAAATAGTCATCATGATGTGTCATCTACAAGACAGTAAAGTATTACCTGTTTATATTTGCCAGGCTCAAGTTGCTGTTCTATCACAGGTAGAGTGTCGGACAATCTAGACTCAAACTGTGCACTCTCTACTTCTACAAACAGTCCACATAGTTGGGCAGCTAAACTCCTGTGTCTTAACTGAAACAATAAGTTTCACGTGGATATTTTATTTTATGTCTATATTATCACATAAACAATTTTCTAAAGTAAGCAAGAAATTTATCCTTTATTTTTGCATGTTTTACAACAATGCAAACGTTTTTCAAATTGTATAATTTAAACATATGTTTCAAAGTTGGCATATTTTGTTTTAACTTATATAACTTGACTACTCTTCTGTCAATATGCATGTTAAGTTTGCTGTTGCCATCGCAAAAACTGTTAAACCAACAAATAAATGCTAGGCATGGCGACTTTTTTTGAAGGCATGGTCATTTTCTTTTAATCTTTTTACCAGTTTTTTTCAACAAGAGATGTCAGGATGTCAGGACAGTGCCATCAACAATTTTTAGTGCTTGGTAATAAAATGAGTGCCTAGAAAACGTAGATATTCAAAAACTGAAAGATTGAATTTAAACTAGAACTATCACTAAATGTGATTAATACCCCCACAAGACTGCTTCGGAAATGAGGATGTTACTAGTAACAGAATACCTTGTAAAAGAATTGAAATATAGAGTTATGGTTGTGGGCAATTAAAGATAGTTGTGGTTTTTGTATATTGCATTTCCTTTCAATGTGGTTGGCCATTGATGAAGTTTTATTGAATTACTCTGTAATAAGTCCAGAAAGACAAAGAAAAGGAACAAAGGGCAATAACTCTATAAATACTGAAGATGTAGTTATAGTTCTTGTGCACTGCACTTCCTCTTTTTGTGCTTGACCATTGTATGAAGTTGTTTTGAATTTCAACCAGTACGTTTTAAGTTATGCTCCAGACAAGGAAAAGTAACAAAGGGCAGTAACTCTGTATTTTTGTCAAAATGGAGTTATGGCTCTATGCACTGCACTTCCTTTTAATGTCCTTGACAACTGTATGAAGTTGTATTGAATTCCAAACAGTAGTTTTCAAGTTATGCTCTGGACAAGGAAAAGTAACAAAGGGCAATAACTCTGTAATTTGTCAAGATGGAGTTATGGTTCTTGTGCACTGCACTTCCTCTCAATTTGCTTGACCATTGTATGAAGTTATATTGAATTCCAACCATTAGTCTTCAAGTTATGCTCCGGACAAAAAAAGCAATGGAAAGTAACAAAGGGCAGTAACTCTGTAATAAGTCAAGATGGAGTTATGGTTCTTGTGCACTGCACTTCCTCTCAATGTGCTCGACCATTGTATGAAGTTATAATGAATTCCAACAATTAGTCTTCAAGTTATACTCTGGACAAAAGAAAGCAATGGAAAAGTAACAAAGGGCAGTAACTCTGTAAATACTTTAGATAGAGTTATGGTTCTTGTGCACTGCACTTCCCCTTATTGTGTTTGACAATTGTATGAATTTATTTTGAATTCCAACCAGTAGTTTTCAAGTTATGCCCCGGACAAGGAAAAGTAACAAAGGGCAATAACTCTGTAATTAGTCAAGATAGAGTTATGGTTCTTGTGCACTGCACTTCCTCTCAATGTGCTTGACCATTGTATGTAGTTATATTGAATTCCAACCATTAGTCTTCAAGTTATGGTCCGGACAAAAAAAAGCAATGGAAAAGTAACAAAGGGCAATAACTCTGTAATTACTTTAGATAGAGTTATGGTTCTTGTGCACTGCACTTCCCCTTATTGTGTTTGACAATTGTATGAATTTGTTTTGAATTCCAACCAGTAGTTTTCAAGTTATGCCCCGGACAAGGAAAAGTAACAAAGCGCAATAACTCTGTAATTAGTCAAGATAGAGTTATGGTTCTTGTGCACTGCACTTCCTCTCAATGTGCTTGACCATTGTATGTAGTTATATTGAATTCCAACCATTAGTCTTCAAGTTATGGTCCGGACAAGGAAAATGCAACGGACGTCTGGACCGACCGACCGACCGACCGACCGCCCGACCGACCGACCAACCGACCACCGGGTGACTCCTATATACCCCCCCAAACTTCGTTTTTGGGGGTATAAATACAGTGAAAGTTGAGAAAACCGGACGGCTTTCGGACCGAGGGTTTTGTCCGGTTTTCTCAGCGGTCCGGTATTCTTCAGCTGTTCAAGATCATATAAACCGAGCAATGACTTTCAAAGGACGCTGAACGTATATTTGCATTTTCATGATTATGAGTATGTATATTGCTAAATATAGAAATGAATATGTTTTAATTATTTTTGTCCCATTATTGCGTATAAATACAATAAAATTTTGGATTTAAACAAAAAGCAGTTACCTCATAACGATAAAGTCCGATTACACCCGCATATGTTGGGTAATGGATAATGATTTAACGAACATACATGTAGTTTACTCTGTTTATAATAATTCCCCAATTGTAAATATGGCCTATACCATATTTGTCAGATAAAGATTTTTAAAGTAAGTCTCGGCAAAGTTTCACTGTTTTTAATTAATTTAAATTTGTCACTTATAGACAGCTCTCGTCAACTGATTTTAACTTATCAATTCCTCGTGCATTTTGGCATTTATATAAAACGGTAACATCCATACCTTAGAATAAACAAACTGTGAAATGAGACATAATTAACAAATCAGACAATCATTGTTCCGTTACCGCTCAGTTAGCGTATTAGACACAACCAATTGATAAGTACACAAGGTTATTCACACCTGTGTCGTCCGGTATTGTCAGGGTAATTGTCTATATAATTGACTTTGTAGTCTCCTATCAACCGTCCGATATTCGGTTTTTACAGATTCCGGTATTGTCAATGTTTAATACAATAGTTTAAAAAAGGGAAAATTTGGGACTGAATTTATCGTCCGGTATTTAGAGAGTTCCGATTTTCTCAGCGTCCGGTTTTCTCAAATTTCACTGTACTGGGCAAAATTGTGTGCCTTCAGAACTGACCTACTATGATGACCTAAAGATAAAACTGTAACCTGGAAATTATCTTAGTTGACAATGCACCAAAATTCAGTCAAATACATGCTAGAATTATAGGTCTTGAAAAGTGACCTTAAATTATGATCTCAAAGACATGTATTAAGTCAATATATTTTTTGTTTGTTTTGGTTTGGGTTTTAACGTCACACCGACACAGTATAGGTCATTCGGCGACGTTCCAGCTTTACTGGTGGAGGAAGACCTCAGGTGCCCTTCCATGCACTATTTCCGGCACGAACGGGCACCTGAGTAGAACCACCAACGTTCCATAAGCTAGCTGGATAGCTTCCTCACATGAAAGAATCCAAAGTCCCTGTCGGGATTCGAACCCACAGCTGTGAGGGGCAAGTGGTTTGAAGTCAACGACCTTAACCACTCTGCCATGGACGCCCCAAATCAATATAATTAATAATGTCAGTAAGTCAATATAAGTTAATAATGTCAGTAAAACTTTAATCAGGCATTTTCTTAGTTCACAAAGGGCCATAATTTGATCAAAATCATGCAAGAGTTATGGGCTTTAGAAGATATCCTCTCAAAGACATGTGTGAAGTTTCCAGCAAATACTATAAGTGGTTTATACAGTAAGAAATTGTTTAATTAATTCAATTATCTAACAACAAGTTGTAGCTACTTTCATTCAAGATATTGCTATTTATAGCATCACAACCTCACCTTCTCATCCATAAACCATTTCATCGCTATGGTAAACAGGCCAGTTCTAGCATTATGGTCAAGTTTTCCCAATAACGTCTTTATAGCTAAGGCGATTAACTTCCTGCATTTTACAGACTCGTCATTGGCTAAGCAGGCTGCCATGGGAACAAAGAATAAACCTGAGTATTCTGCTAGCAAATTCTGAAAATTAACAAAATTATATTATTAAAATATGTTAAAATGCCTTTCTTTATATTTTTTCGTATTGCACAGTTCAAGTCCAGTTTCATATCATATAGGCACAGTTCAAGTTCAGTTTCATATTATATAGGCACAGTTCAAGTCTTTGAACAGCTCATAGTAATTAGAAAGATTTTAATATGAAAATACTAAAATTGAGAAGGCACAACTGAAGAGTACAGTCAGACTGTTCAGTTTGTGCATGGCATTAGCACAAGTCTGCAAATTATTTAGTTGGTTTGTGTAATTTAAAACACATGTTAAACAGCTATTAAATGACTACATACATATTTTTATCTCAAAAGATCATAAACTAAAACGTATGATACCAGCATTAAATGAGAATTCAGAAGGTTGACCAAAACCAACAAGAGGGACGTCACAAAAAATTTTATTCTTCCAAAAGTAGGGGCTGAAAATTCCTGAAAATGTCTATGGACTGATCCAAAAATAAAACTGGGTAAATCTTTGAAACTACTTAGGCAGTTTAATGAGAATAATACTACACAAAAACCACACAAAACGTATAAAACGTACCTGTGGAAATGACGTGAAGAAGGAGGCTAACATTTCTAGAGCTGATTCTCGACCACTCTCCAGTTCAAAGGTTAAATTGGAGACGTAAAACTGAAGGTGATCCTTAATCTTCTTACCATGTGAATAATCTAATAAATACTGCATCATGGCCTGCAAAATAATTACAAAAATAACATAAGAATAGCCTTGTTTTAAAAGGTATTGCAATCAACAAATATTTGATATAAAATTTCAAATTTTATTGCTAGAAATGGACAATGTTTATGCATGTAACGTACATATGAATCCCTGCATGCATGCACATGGTTATTTATTCAAGCTTGCATGTACACATGTACAAGAATCTATGTTCATGTGCAATTTTTGTAGATTGTTATAATATTTCAGTGTAATACTGTTGGCCAAAAGCGTAATAATTGTTCTCATTCTCCATTTCTTATCCATTTTTTAGTGAACTTCATCATATTTGTCACTTAGATCATAAATAGAACAATTATCTAATATTGATTATTTAAAACATGCCACTTGCATGCAAAAACCTTAGAATCTTTACCTACTGAAAACAAAAGTGATATACCCTTTATCACAATGTTGAGTACAATAGACTGGTTTAATTCCTGTTAATTATTTTCGATACAAACTGAAAACATATCTAAAACTGGTCCAGATAATTTTTTTTCCATTTAATGTCCGTTAAACACACTCCTTAAACAGAACCAACAAAAACTTCTTATGTACAATTTTTACTGACCTGCCTACATTCCCTTTGGACATGGGCTGTTTCGGCAGAGATTGACATTTCTTCAACTTTCTTCATTAGCTCGTGGATCTCTGGTACATCAAGTTTACGAGACAATATTCCCTGAAATAACACATTTACTAAGTCATATCTCTTTTACATGTAATCTGAGTATATATAGGTTAACTGTGTTTCAAGTAAACAATGAACTCTAATTAACCTTAAAACTTTGAACAGTTTTCATACATAAATAAAAATCAAGAGTTTTTCAAAGGACTCAGTTGAGATGAGTTTTATTGGTTAACTGTTAACATTAGTTATCTGTTGAATGAATGAATGAATGAATGAATGAATGACACATTTCTTGAGCTAACTGAATTATCAAGTAAGTAATTTGCCTTTCTAGAACTACTAAGTTATTCTGGAATTCCAGAAAATTATTTAAGCATCTATAAAATGAGAGCATCCAGAACAGTTTTCACAGCTGTGAGAGAATTCATTTTGACCTTTTCTTTGAATTTCTAAACTAGAACAGTATTATTATTTATTTATGTGTGTATGTAGCCTGAAGATGGATTTTCAGCCATGAAGTTGGTGTAATAAGGACATATTTAAAATTTGCAGTTTGTCTACTTATTTTGTTTTATCTCATATCATTGACCATAAAATTTAATTATATAGGTGATAAATTCAAGTTTACCTTGAGCAAAGAGAAAGCTGTACTCTGTCTGCTGAAATCATGAATGTCTTCCTCACAGAAAGTCAGCAACACTTGAAGCTGGTCAGATTTAATTTTGTAATACTTCACTTCTCTTACCAACACTGTGACAGCCTGTATATATATATCAGATTCTGGTTAAGTCTCTTCAACTCTTACCATGCTTAAAATCTTAAAAGAATATTTGAGCCGCGTCACGACAAAACCAGCATAATGGGTTTGCGACCAGCATGGATCCAGACCAGCCTGCGCATCTGCGCAGTCTGATCAGGATCCACGCTGTTCGCTATCAGTTTCTCTACTTGTTATAGGGTTTGTAAGCGAACAGCATGGATCCTGATCAGACTGCGCGGATGCGCAGGCTGGTCTGGATCCATGCTCGTCGCAAACCCATTATGTTGGTTTTGTTGTGACGCGGCTCATTTTAATCTGGACAAAGCCATGCATCCTTTGTACAGAAAATTTTCAATGCTAGTATTAACCAAATGGCAAACAGTGCAGACCATAAACAGATGGCACGGATGTGCCACATGATTTTGGTCTGCACTGATTGCATGGGTATATTTAGTGAAAATATCCAATCAACTATTCACTACCACTTTTGTAACAAGAGCTCTTACCATTTATGAAATGAGAGATCTCACCATCGTTGTATAAACCAGCAGCAGTTTTGTCATTCGAAGATTTCATCACATATGCATTATGTCTAACCAATAATGTTTATTTCATTTCAGCAATTCTTAAGAACCAATTTACATGACAAGGGACACAACTCACCTTAAACAACATGGAGACCAGCTCCAGATTATCTCCCCTAGCAGCACCAGCAGAAGCATAATTCCGGAGAAGTATAAACATTCCACTGGAAATCCTTGACATGCGTTTCTTTAATGACGGGATCGGGAATTTCAAAATCTTACATAATACTCTCAAACTGTATGCATTCACCTGGAATAATAAACAATTACCTATAACGCTTTGTGAAAAAAAATCAGAATTCTAAATTTGGGTTTTAAAAATAGACTGAATAATACATAGAGGATATTAAATAACAGTAGATTCTTTACTGAATTAAATGAACAATTTGAATGAAATCATATTATGGAAGCCCCTGGCTATTAATTTATTTAGCTAATTCAATAAACTTAGTAATGAACCTACACATACAGTATATATTATTCTATTTATCACATACCCAAAATAAAGACTGTTAAAAGTGAAAAGAATCATTTTTCACTGATGCTAATTTAATATAACAATTAGTAACCAGACTTTATAAATGTTGAAGTCAAGCCAGGACATGTAACATTTCAATAGACTAGTAATACATGTTCTTATCATGACCAGGCTGAGGGTTGCTTCCAAGCAATGTGAATGCATTGCATTAAAGATGATTGTATTCTCATCCAGAAATTATTTCTTGCACAAACAGAATAAAACTAGCTTAATAGCTTTCACTCATGGATGTCCCTGGTGTGATTCCAGCCCATAGCAGAGAGGGGCAAGTGGTTTTAAGTCATCAATCTTAACCACTCAGCCACAGATGCCCCTAATACCTAGTATACCAAGAAAATATGGCTACATGATATTTCAAATAAACACAACTTCACTTAATATAATTAAGTACATAAACATCATAAGGCAAACTTTAAAATTAACTTACCATAACATATTTGGAAAATAAACAGTCAGCTAACATTGGCACTAGTGGATCTAACATCTGAATGTGAGTACTGTCTGACTTTACAATTTTCTGCTTCTTTAAACACATACTTAGAAGCTGAAATTAAAAACATTTGAACAATGTAAGTCTTTATATGGGAAATTTATATAAGAAAACGTTAAGGGTTTTTCATTTTCAATTTGAGAATTTTCTGTAAGAATTTTATGGATACCAGTAAAATCATTTCCAAATATAAGTGTCTTTGCTCTTTACTGGTAGCAAAGGCTTTAATTCCAGAAGGCTTAAGGTTTTAATGATTGTTTCTGCAATGCTGATGTCCTTTATTCCCACTTTGGACAATTATGTTACTAGAAAATCTCCAATTTTCAGAAAAGATGTCCTCAGAAAATGGGCTATAAGAAACAACATCAATCTACAAGGAGAATTATGAACTGACTTGTAATCCGAACTCTACAAGCACATGTATATTTGTTTTCTTGTGGGCTTTAGGTTTCAGACCACCACGAGGAGCAGCTTTAGGTATGAGGAGACAACTTTGTGGCTGTTTACCGGGCCGACTCTCTGTCTTTTCAACCTTTGGTGCCCTGTAAAAAAAAATTATCATTTCAATTCATTGTTTTACATTACACAATCCATATTGGAGGACTTTTCTTTTTTCTATTCATGTAAAGTTAATTTCTGTTTAAAGCATTTTGTCACAAATGTGTTTTAACAGGAACTTTTGCTTAAAATATAATTAGAAATACAACATGTACTAAGTTTAGCACAGCACTCATTTTAATTTTGTCAAGCTGCTTGTTTGACAAGGATTTCAACACATTTTTTTGTTATAGCTTGGCAATCGGTCTAACTAACCGACTATCCTAGCACCTGATCTCCTCATGTGTTGGTGACCAGAATCTTGTGAGAAAATCCAACAGCTTCTTGACTATCCTAGATAACTAACCAGAAATTACCAATTTCTCAGCAAGTGAGCAAGTGACCAACTACTAACTTTGCATGATATCTGAATCAGTGGTGAGAGACTAGTGACCATCAGACTCAATGTCTGTGATAAATTGTTATGAAGATATTTGCCTTACTGGAGGAGGCTCTTACAACCAACCCCTGGATTACAAAGCCAATGCTCTCCCTATTGAGTTACAAGGCAGACAACTACTTGATTTTGATGTATACATTTAAACATAACTCATTTAAAACTCATTCTATTCTCCACTGACCAGGTATAAAGCATATCTAAAATCTTCCATCCCAGAGTCCTCAATAGTAAATATTATGATTTAACTGAAACAAATATTATCAAAATCTTGGGCAAATATTAACACTTCACTGAGAATGTATAATCAATCTATTATCTTACGGCTTTTCCTCTGACAGCATAGGTAAATTCTGTGTTGTTAAACTATGAACAAATATAAGAAGGGTCTCCGTGGTAACAGTCTTGTTGTCAAGGAGACCAGCTGTAACACGTTTCAACAATTCCTGTACCTTCCTGGCAGACTTGTGGCTACTGGTAGAATCTAAAATCTATAAATAAATCAAAATCTATATCAATTCCTTATTATTATGCAGACACTTATGATATTAATGATATATTTATATATAATTATCATAATTCACTAGGTTTTAAAAGAATTTTTTTCCATTAAATAATTAGGGACATACCATATTAATTTCAGTTTGGTCTGGTTTAAGTCACATCAATACTGTACAGTTCATTTGGCACTTTGCCAGCTTAACTATTTAAGGAAGACCTACGATGCCCCTCCGTACATTATCTCAGGAAAAAAGTGGACACCCGAGGAGAGAGATACCCTCTATTAGCTAGATGAATGGTTTCCTCACATATAAGAATCCAAAGTCTCTTAACAGATTCATACACCCTTAGTGGGTATATGAATTAAGACAATGACAGTTTAACAACTCTGCCACTAAATTTGATAATGATATAAGTCAGCATGTCTTTTCCATCCAATACTTTACTTATTGTGAGGTCCAATCTATAAGTCGTTTGTAAATCTGGTAAAAATTCCTACATTAGTATGCTTGATAGTATGAGAAAATGGACATACCTTTTTAATGGGGTCTAATAATTTCATCAAAGACCCTGGACTGATATATCGTGCAATAAACTCATAAGACTCGTAACTTTTACTGCTCCTAGCTTCAAACACCTTCGCTTTAATCCCTTCGACATCTTTCTCGTCAGATACTTCTCCAAATATCTCCTCATTCAATACCTGTCAAGCAAAACATTTCATTATTTGTAGTCTTATTTCATTAAAGAATAGCATTTCACTGAAAGTTATAACTGAATCAGAGTTAAATCTATTTCTTGTAAATACTGACAATGCAATACTTGCGTTAATAATGCATGCTGTATTAGTGAATTTATATAAATTGCTTTCTTTTAAGGCCATTTTTTTAAATGCCGAAGCCCAAACATGCATTATTTTGCTTCAATTAAACACTTCCTTCCATATAACAAATAGATAGCTTGGATATTTTCCTTTAATGAGAATCTGATAAATAAGAGACAAATCGGCTGCTTACATGATTAGATTGATATGATTATATAACGATAATAAAAGGTGATTCATACTTGCATAAATGACCAGTATTTGTAAAAATACACATGCTAATACAAGACAAGTACAAATTCAATTCACAAAATTAACAAAAAATTTTAACCAGCTGAATACATCCAGAACAATATGAAGTCATGCCATCATTATTATGTCAGATTTTAAACTTGATTGTGACAGCCTTACAAAGCTTACACTTCCAAATGTTATCTACAAATAACAAACCTGGTTTGTAAATTAAAGTTGAAGAATTTTTTGCCATCTACATGGTGACACCCTGAAAACAAACAGACAATCCCTAAAACTGCATTAAAAGCTGGCTTTTATCTCCTGTAATTTTTTCAGCATAAATTTATTCTCCGGGGGTTTGACCACTATCCAATTTTTTAACAGTGATGTACTTGTAACACAACAGGTCTCTGGTATCCACGTCTCAGTGTTCCACGAAGCTCTGATAGGATAAACGGGAAGAATCGTGGACCAAGCGTCATCTGTATCTTGACTAGCGTGTCACGTGACGTGTTTCTGATCTCAATTGACCTCGACTTGAGAAAGTTACAAACTTTCAGCAAAACCCTGTATGTATAAATGAAAGTCAAATTCTATATGAACAAAATAAGAATCATTTTAACGCATACATTTAATCATGCAAGAAAACAATTTTTTTCAATATATATGTACTTTGTGTGATGATTTATTCATTGAATTTGGTAAAAATCATAAGAATTAAATCAGGAGACAAACTCACAAATGTAAAATATATTACAAACTTAGTGTAACTTTTAAAAACCCCGGGTCCAAATCACTGACACAAAAGATAAAAATTGGGGGATAAAATTTAGCAATCTCTTTCTTTTCACCAGACAAAATAAAATTTATTATTAAAATTAAAATGAAATATTGAGAAATATTAATGAAAAAAATGCGTATTTTCATTTTCCGTATTTTCACTGTAAAAATTTATTTTCACTGCAGTGAAACATATTTTCCGTATTTTCACTGGTGTGTTGCCGGACTACTTTCTTTTAAATTCTGCCAGTACACAAAATTTAAGGGAAAGTCTTTCAAATTTTAATGTCAAAAAGGAGAAAAACGTATATAATAAACAGAAAATTCAAGTTTTTTCTATAAATACATGATTTATTTTCATCTTGTGGCATGAAAATTACCATATTTCACTTGTGGCTACCGCCACTCATGAAATATTTATTTTCATACCACTCGATGAAAATAAATCATGTATTTATAGAAAAAACTTGAATATCCTCTATTTAATTTTAATTAATAGAAATTATCTAAATGACAGAGAAGGTAAAGTTGCTGACCTACAACGTCTTAGTTTTGACAAGGACACTGTATCTTGTGTGAGGAAGAAACTGATAGGTTGGTGGTTTGATTTTAAATACGTGGGAAAGACTAAATATTAATTTAACAGACTTGCTATGACCTAAAATTCAACCAATAAAAAAAGGAAACATAGATACAAGCTGAAAACTTATGCACCAAAATATTTAATGAGTTCACATAATAATAGTATAACTTCTATTTACCCAGGAAGATATCTGCCGAGAGCTCCTCTCGGAAGATTCTGTAATAACTTCACCATGGCTAGTGATATAGGCACTCTAAGGATTTCTTCATCTTCTGCATACTTAGATTTCACCACTTTATGTTCCCCATCACTCCGTGCCTGTCATTAATATATTTATTATTGTTAAACACATGTAAACTAGAAATGTGTCCATAGGACACAGGTGCTCCAACACTCCACCCATTTGTCAATCTTATGTCTCTAGGTCAATATATTTTTTGGCTACATGTGCCCAAGATGAAAACAAAAAAACTTTTATTAAGTAAAGGGCAAATACTACAAATACTGAATAAATGCACAAGAAAACACTAAGGTGCATAAGTACACATGCTGACCAACATTCTTGTAAACTTTCAGGCCTACAGATCATAAACTTTTTGATTTACGTGCAACACAAGTTGAAAATTGGGAATTTTTACTAATTCAAGAGCAATAACTCTAAAAATACTAAATATATCAACACAAAAATAACCAGGTGCATAACTTCACATGCTGATGAACATTCCTGTAAGGTTTCATGACTCTAGGTAAATTGCTTTTTGAGCTATGTGCGACACAAAAAAAGGGAACGGACGGTCAGATGGACGGACAAGGGTAAATCTAAATGCCCCCCTATAGTAAGTGGGGGCACAAAAATCAGGTGGAATACCCCAAGACTGTTTTCTTTTTTATAGGGAACTGAAAATCTACATATAATTTCTGTCAATGAGATTGTTGCATAAAAATGTTTAGAAAAATAATTTGGCAGTGAATTAACACCAAATCTGTTATAAAATGTGTTGAAAAATAACTGTTTATATATTTTTATAACTAGTTTTGTAGTGTGAAAATTATCAAAGAACAAGTCTGTACTATATGTGTAAGGCTTAAAGTATAATTCTAAACTGCATCAGTTAATATCACATTTTTTATAATATTCATCTACTTGTGGAAATTCTACCAACATAATTTATTTGAAAGGCATCAAAAGAAAGCTGAATGACTATTTATTAGCCAATGGCAAGAACAAAATCAACAACTTGAACACATATGATGCATGTATGTATGATGTATCAACTTCAAAATTTAATCAAATAAACTACCATTCAGAAACTTACCTTCTGTACCAGAATTCTATGAAGCTGATGTATAACACTTTTCAAAATAGTTCCATGTATTTTAGTAGCCAGTGGTTCTGAGCAGATTTGCTTCCCTTTATCCTCTTCTACCACAGTGCTCTCCTCTTCCTCATTAATCTCTACCACAGGCTCCTCAGCCTCCTCAATCTTATCTGTATCTACTTCTTCTTTTTCTTTATCCTTATCTACATCTTCTATAATATTAGAAAAAAGAACACCTTTATCTTTATTTACATCTTCTATAACATTGGTAAATACAATTCTCAAACAGGAGGAAATACTATTCACAATGGCAACTTTGAACATACTTGACAATCTTTTATTTCTTTTATATTTTTATGCTGATTTTAACACTTTTTTGGTCTCCTCTCAGTTTTCAGTCCACCTGGTTGGCTTTTTTAGATATTTACAAGTAATTAACATATTTTCCTCTAATTCATTCAATTCTGAATCAGCGGTGTGAGACAAATGAATATTAGACCAAATATTTATCTTCAAATACTGTCAAACTCCTCGCGGATACGTAGACATTTAATACCTGAGATAAATTCTCTGATACTCTCCCTATTGAGCAAAGCAAGCTGTGCAATACTTAAAGTTAAGTTATAGAAAATATTTCACCTGTATTCTTGGCTATTTTACTTTAGCACTTTGTAATCAAATTTCCTTATATTTACAATGTAAAAGTTAAAGATTGGCAAATCCAATATACAAATTCAGGATGGCATGGACTAGAAACAAATTGAATATATACTAAATGATATAGGTGTAAGACTGAAAAAAATAACTTGAAAAGTTTCTAGCAGAGTTTCATTATTCAAGTCATGAAAAGATTACCTGGTTTCAGGTCTTTTTGCTCTTCTGGTTCCCTCTCTACTTTTGGCACTGGTGTCTTTTTCCAATTTAGTGTTGAATTTCTCAAGTCAAAATGGAAGTTGTCCAAGACTGACACAATTACCCTGAAAACATATCAAAATCTTTACTGTAAATCCGAAAACCAACTTCTGAAAACAATATATTGGCATGTTTCAAAGAAGACAGAAGTGTGACAATTTTTTTTTTTTTTTGCATTATCATGAAGTCTTCATAAGAAATGGTAATATTTTGCAAACCGACTTTCAACAAATGTTTGTTATATACAATAAGAAAATTTGAAACCATATTGAATACTACACTAGACTCTGTCTTCACAAAATGAAATCGGAGATATTAATCTACAGTGAAATCCTTAACAAGATGAAATGAACATATAGAAACACATTTCTTTTATATCTTAACAGGATTCTTTTACTGTAACCCAATTTATATTCGCGAATACAAATTTTCGCGTTTTGCCGAGGTCGGACATATTCGCGAATATTAATTTCCGCGTTTTCTTGATTTCCGAAAAAAAAATATTCGCGGATTGGAAAGTCCGATGGGGCCGTAAAATCCATTAGCCGACTATTAATCTTCAATAATTGAGGTCATTATTGGTGTCTTAAATGGGATTAACAATACGCTAGCCTTATATTGTATTGGTAAGTGAATTGTGATCACAATTCAACAAAACATTTTCTCTATATATGTACATGTATACATCGTTCGTTTCATTTCTAAACATGTCGTTAAAATGGTAGTAAATTAATTTCAACATCTTATTTTCAAAACATATTTATATTTGTACCCACAGTTTATCTAGAAAAGTCTTTAAGAAATTCAATTTAAGCGTTTCATAAAAAAATACCTTCTCCAATCAGGGATCGAACCCACGTCGAGAAAATTATGTTTTATGAGTCCGCAATCTAACCAACTGAGCTAAACAGGCTGTTAATTTTGACGGGTAAAATCGATACTTGTATGAAACCATCTTGTAATTCACTGTTTGTAATTATGTACACCCAATACCCTTTTGTGATGCTCGATAGGTTTATACCACCTTTGTCATAACAATTCACTCAAACAATTATTTTATAGGATCCAAAAAACAATTGCCTTTTGTGATGCTCGATAGTTTTCCCAATTTTGTCAAAAGATTTATTCAAACATTTATTTATAGGGTCCAAACTCGGCTGGAAAAAAGCTGGACTTCTAAAGTTAGTGCGAGTACTTTGTGTATAGAAGTGTAAATATGAAGAACTGACACATGCTCCGTATAGTACCCTATACGGAACGTGATTGACAATAGGCCTACTAGTACTTCATATACTGTATTAAAATGTGGATGTTTATTTTGATTGCTATATTGACATAGAGTTCTTTTGATATTTATAAAATAGAAGTAGTTTACTTAGTTTGTGTTTTTATTGCTATATGGCAATATTCATAACAATTCATTACTTCCTAACAGGTGCCCGTAAAATTCAAATTTATCCGGTTAAGTAGCTTTGCATGAACAACGTCTCAAATAAAAATTTCTCTCCAATTTATTCGCGAAATCGTGCGGACTTATTCGCGCAAACAAATATTCGCGCTTCGTGGCTATCCGCAAATAAAGCGAATATTAATTGGTCGCGAATATTCGTTGGGTTACAGTATATAAAGTTTATTCGTTGAATGGATACATAAATCCCTATTAATTTCCATACTATCATGTATTACCGTAAGCAAAAAGATTTTTAGAACTAAGGTAGAATTTGCAATAATTAATTGATCTGGTACTCATAATAGTAAACTTAAGTTCTTTCAGTTTTTCTTCACATTCTTTTACCTGACTAGAAGCTTCTGTTTTTCCAGTTTCCTTGACAACAAGATAAGATAATGTCTGAGCTGGTTGAGGTAAGATTTCCATGGCAACAGTTTACATATAGTTCCTATACCATCTATAGCTGCATCTAGAACTGTGGGATGTTTCTTATATATGTCGTCTATAAGGAAACTGGACACCATTGGTAGGAAGATGTTGGTCAAGGTGTCATGATTCACTTTGTTGGAGTAGAGGTACTTGATAAGGCGTCGTAGAGCTCTGGATCTTTTGTAAACCTTAATATAAGAAATGACAGTTTCATAACAAATTTTTAAACAAAAGAAGAAGAATTACACTAAATGTAAACAGTCAAACTTGTCTTTATAGACCGGTTTTTGGAAATAGATCAAGAACTAGTGGTCTTTTCATAGGCAAGTCATTATGCAGGTTATGTTATCTAAATATGGTTTGAACTCAAAAATAAATTTCAGCAAAAGTTCAATTGTATATAATTCTATAAACACTGTCAACTGTGTACAAGGGGAGTGGTGGCCTAGTGGTTAAGGAGTCTGCTAATCATGTGTTCAAGCCCTAATAAGGTCATGATCATGTTTCCTCATATGACACCATCCAGCCCTAGTAAATTCAGGGAAGCAGACCCAAAAGGGATTAATATAAGTTGCAAGAACTTGTTTAGCGATCAAGCTTAAATATGTTTAAATTAACAGTATACGCTCTTCAAAATAAATACTAACCTGAATATGTTTTATATTCTCATAAAAGTCTGCCTCAATATCTTTGTCACGTAGAGGCTTGAGATCAGTAAATGTAGCCTGGTCACCAAATATATCAACCATTGTAGCTAATATAGTCACAAACTCATGGAACACAGTCTGTAAAAACAAAATAACATCATAAAACAAGAACTGCCAGACAGCGACGCTCGACTATTCGAAAAAGTTGTCACAAGGATGTTTCATTGAGAATATTAATGCTTACCTATATGAATACATATGAATATGAATACATATGAATATATAAAATTGTCCGAAAAGGTACAAAGGCTTGTTATTAAGATGTTTTATCGAGTAAATCACTGCTTTATCATTAAGAATGCATAAAATTGTTACAACAAGGTACAAACCCTTCAGTAGTTATAGAGATACCAGCTTACAAGCAAAAACTTTACCAAGAATTTCTAAGCCGAAAAAGGGGCATAATTATGCAAAAAAGCAATCAGAGTTATGGGACTTATTCCAATCATGTAAGATAATCACAGAGAACAAGTGTGTGAAGTTTCAATCCATTACCTTCAGTAGTTATGGAGATACTGGCTGACACGCAAAATCTTAACCACAGGGATGCCAACGCAGACAAATAGGTGACTGCATTAGCTTGATTATTATGTGAATAATCGAGCTAAAAATCATTGAAATAATTTTCTAAAAGTAACAACTGTTGCTTCAGCAATAGTTTCATACTTGAATCAATTTGTTTTCAGACAGTCTCACCAGTCTGTACTACTGGCTACATATTATCAATATTTTTTAATATATTTATATTATACTGAACTCTCTGAAAATACTATTTCACTACCCCAAAATTCACAACAAAAGTCTTAATCACTTGACCACTTTAGCCTTTTTTTATCTTATATTGTCAACAATACATACATATCTCTTCTCATAAACATAAATTTCAGTCTATAAATTCAAAAACATCTACTAAAACAAGATTGCATTTGTAAAAATTATTATGCCACTGCATTAATAAATGTACAATACTAAATACAAAATGTAGTAATGTAGGAACAGAATTTTTTGTTTCTTTACAATTGAAGATTGCCATAATGCATAGATCACTGACCTATTTAATTCTTATTATCAGATTAGTGGTTAAATCTATTGTCATTCAAATAAAAGATCAGAGTAGGAATCTATCAATGCAGTTGAGTCTAGTAAATTTGGTGGTGAAAGTCATATTTTACATGGCCAAAATTCCATGACTGTACATCAAAGGAAAACACAGTAAGACAATTTGTCAAACTCTAGGCCAGCTGATATCAAAGTTCACTTTACATCTTAATCTGTACACATGGTTCAAATTTCATAGCTGCACATCAAAGGACAATAAAGTACATGAAGGTCACATCATCAAAATCTAGGTCACCTGATATGAAAGTTCAATTTTACAACTAAAACTGTGCACAGAGTCCAAATTTCATGGCTGTACATCAAAGGACAAGAAAGAAGGTCACTGTCCCCTTGGGCAATGCAAAATTTTGACCCAAGGGTTTAATTCAAACAATCTTGATACAGGTCCACCAAACAACATTTCATGTCAAAAATTTAAGCTGTAGCTTTCTCCAATTCAGAAAACATTTGTTTAAGTTTCTGTTTTTACTATGTGTACATAATGAAAATCAATGCCCCAAGGCAGGGCCAATTTTGACACCAGGGGCAAAATTTGAACAACTTTGGTAGAGGACCTATGGCTGATATTATAAAGCAAACATCAAAGCTCTAAGCCTTGTACCTTCAGACAAAAAGATTTTTAATTTTTCACTATCATGTACATAGTGACTGAAAATCAATGACCCCTGGAGGGGGCCAATTTTGACCCCAGGGTTATAATTTGAACAATCTTGCTAGAGGTTCACTACACAGTGTTTCATGCAAAATATCTAACCTCTAGCATTTGTCAATTTAGAGAAGATGATTTTTTTAAGTTTTTACTTTATATACATATAATGAAAACCTATGGCTCCCGGGGCGGGGCTAATTTTGACACTAGAGGGAAATTTTTAACAACTTTGGTAGAGGACCTATGGATGATATCATATACCAAATATCAAAGCTCTAAGCCTTGTACCTTCTGACAATAATATTTTTTTTATTTTTTTACTATATGTGCATAGTGAAAATCAATGACCCCTGGGATTGAGCCAATTTTGACCCCAGTGCTATAATTTAATCAATCTTGCTAGAAGTTTACTACATAATGTATCATGCAAAATATCTAACTATAGCCTTTGTCAATTTCGAGAAGATAAATTTTTTAAGATTTTACTATATACATAAAAGGAAAACCTATGATCCCGGGGTGGGGCTAAATTTGATGCTAGAGGCAAAATTTTGGACAACTTTGGTAGAGTACCTATAGATGATATCATACACCAAATATCAAAGCTAAAAGCCTTGTATCTTCAGACAAGAGAGTTTTAAGTTTTTACTTTATGTATATAGTAAAAAACAAAGACCCCCGGGGCGGGGCCAATTTTGACCCCAGGGCTATAATTTGAACAATCTCGGTAGAGGTCTACCAGACAATGCCTTATGCAAAAGATCTATGTTCTAGGCCTTGTGGGCCTTTACAAGAAGATTTTTTAAATTTATTCTTATAATTCCTTTTGGTTGCCATGGCAACCAGATTTCTGCATTGGAATGAAATTCTTTGAACAACTTTGGAAGCCCTTCACCCAAGAATCAATCCTGCCAAGTTTGGTTGTAATTGGACTAGTTGTTTTTCACAAGAAGACTTTTCAAGTTCACTTTATAATCTATAGAACACACAAACATATATACAAACACACACAAAGGTGAATCGCTATATGCCACAGCATCACAGATGCTGCAGTGGCATAATTACAGTTCATCCTCTGAAGAACAATATCCTTTGGTAGACAAAAATTTTGGTTGCTGCTGAAAGGTGTTTGCTCTACAGAGGTTAAATTTATGATTAAATTTTATTTTAGGAAACAATGATACTATTGTTGTATAGAGGTGATTGCTCTACAGAGGTTGTAATGTATATACTATACATATTATTTCTCACATTACCTGTTTCTTGCTCCTGAATCCTGTCTTCACTTGGTGTAACAAGGTTAAGATTATAACTTTTTTATACACCTCCTCATCAAATGGAACTTCACCAAACTGCTTCACCATGGTTACCATACACAAGGTGGAACTGTCCCTCAGAGACATATCTTCTACCTAAAATACAGTTAGGCTAGAAAAATCAAAAACAACAACACAAAACTTTTGATGAATTGTTATTTATCATGCAACTGCTATGGTAACTGCCTGATAACACTTGCCCCGCCCATTTCAACAGACTTGTTCCAATAGCTTATATTCTCATTTTTATCAGCCTTTGAATTCTACAATTTTATCTCATACTCTGACAAGTCTCAAATCAAGATGTGATATTTATTATTTTTATTTTGTTTTCAATTACGAACAAATTAGATAGTGAACAGTTAAGCACTTTAATGAAGTGACGTCAAGCCTCGCCCCTTTCTAGCCCATATCAGCCTCACCTGATAAAATTGATATCAAAAGACAGTAGCATGTTATTCTCATCAACATTTCAGCTTACGCCTTCATCAGGATAAATATTAAAACAAACAACAATATTTGTTACGTAACATTAAAATTTGTTTTTTGTTGTTTTTTTACCTAAAATACAAGATATGCATCTAAATTGAAAATTATTACTATTGCTAAAATAAATGGCTTAAAATGGTTTAACATATGAAAATCAGTGACACTGATAAATATAACACTTTGAGTAAAATTCCTGGTGATAATTTATACAATACTTACTGTAGATATAAAGAAACAGCAATTATATATCAGTGTTAGGCAGATCCTAGTATCCATGGCAACCATACCCTTCAACAGACCATTGGCTGACCTATAACCTTCCAGTCGCAGCATGTAATCAGGTTCATCCATGCGTGTACGATCCCAAGAATTCAACTGGAATAGTAAAATATACACATTATATACATAATACTTCAATATGGACCGTTTTCTTGAAAAATTATGTATAAATGTAAGTAACATGTCTTGCTTTTATTATGAACCGCCCATTATCAATGTGAACGATTTTGACATCACACAAGTCATATTCTTAGAATAAACCCATTACCTATTGAAACTGAATTTTACCTTTTCCTGACAGTATACAGCCAGGGCAGCCTAAACCTCCATGCATTCTGACCAGGCTCTATACTACTGTACGAAAAATTGAAGAAAATACATGTAAGACTGTAAAGATATTGTATGATACAATAACTCACGTGTAAATATATGGTATGATATATATTAACTCACCTGTTGTACAATAACACCAAGAGGTTTAAGATCTTCTTCAACTTCACATATTACCTGAATAATAAATGTTGCATTTGCTTAAATACATTCCACATTATTATGCATGAAAAACAAAGATTCAGATTATAACATAAAACAAATTGTTTAAGTGTAAACAATATTATAAGAATTGCATCAGAAAATGCTTTATATATGTTCACCAAAGTAATACTATCTTGACAATTCTTTTATAAGATCAACAAAGATGTACAAATGAATCTCCATTACTACTCCATTCGGTTTTTTTTTTATTGTTTCTTTTTTTAAGTTACACTAACAGTGCAAAAATTATTTGGTAATTTTCCAGTAACACTTGTGGAGACAAACGTCTGGTGTCTCTACAAGCATGATCCCAACAACCTTTTTTTTAAAGTCGACTCCATACTTTCTTTACTTAAAACATTCCAAAGTCATAGGCAAGATTAAATACAACAGCATAAAGGGGGAAGTGATTAAAATTCAGCAACCATAAACACAAAGCCACCCAGCACCCTTGATTAAAATTAATATCAAAACGAAATCTTCACACTATGTTGTCCAAATAAATAGCAACAAGAGGGCCATGATGGCCCTGAGGTCGCTCACCTGTATATAGGGCACCCCCAAACCACCATCCCCCCCCCCCAACGTTGCAGGGCCAATTTAACCCAAGGGCTTTTATTTGCACAAACTTGGTAGACACCCATAAGAAGATGTTTCATGCTAAACATCTAAGCTCTAGCTCATTGGGCTTTTTTAAAAGAAGATTTTTTTTAAAGTTTTTACTATACACATATAGTTAAAAACAATGACACCCCTGGGGCCATGCCAGTTTTGACCCCAGGGCTTTTATTTGAACAAATTTTGTATACACTTACTAGAAGATGTTTCATGCTTAATATCTAAACTCTAGCTATTTGGGTTTTTTCATTTTGCTATACACATATAAAGAAAATCAATGACCCCCGGGGCAGGGCCAATTTTGACCCAAGGTCTTTTATTTGAACAAACTTTGTAGACACTCACTAAAAGATGTTTCATGCTAAATATCTTAACTCTAGCTATATGGGTTTTTTCAAAGAAGATTTTAAGTTTTTGCTATACACATATAAAGAAAATCAATGACCCCCGGGGCAGTGCCAATTTTGACCCCAGGGCTTTTATTTGAACAAACTTGGTAGACACCTATTAGAACATGTTTGATGCTAAATATCTTAACCATAGCTCTTTGAGTTCTTGAAAGGAAGATTTTTAAGTTTTTACTATATGCATTTAGGGAAAATCAATGACCCCCCAAGTGCGGGGCCAATTTTGACCTAAGGGCTTTAATTTGAACAAACTTGGTAGACACTTATTAGAACATGTTTCATGCTAAATATCTTAGCTTTAACTCTTTTGGTTCTTTAAAAGAAGATTTTTTAATTTTACTATATGCATATAGGGAAAATCAATGACCCCCCGGGGCAGGGCCAATTTTGACCCCAGGGCTTTTATTTGAACAAACTTGGTAGACACCCATTAGAACATGTTTCATGCTAAATATCTTAGCTCTAGCTCTTTGGGTTCTTTAAAAGAAGATTTTTTAAGTTTTTACTATATGCATATAGGGAAAATCAATGACCCCCCGGGGGGGCCAATTTTGACCCCAGGTCTTTTATTTGAACAAACTTTGTAGACACTCACTAAAAGATGTTTCATGCTTAATATCTTAACTCTAGCTATTTGGGTTTTTTCAAAGAAGATTTTTTAAGTTTTTGCTATACACATATAAGGAAAATCAATGACCCCCGGGGCGGTGCCAATTTTGACCCCAGGGCTTTTATTTGAACAAACTTGGTAGACACCTAGTAGAACATGTTTGATGCTAAATATCTTAGCCATAGCTCTTTGAGTTCTTGAAAAGAAGATTTTTAAGTTTTTACTATAAGCAAAATCAATGACCCCCTGGGGCGGGGCCAATTTTGACCCCAGGGATTTTATTTGAACAAACTTGGTAGACACTTTTTGGAACATGTTTCGTGCTAAATATCTTTGCTCTAACTCTTTTGGTTCTTTAAAAGAAGATTTTTTAAGTTTTTACTATATGCATATAGGGAAAATCAATGACCCCCCGGGGCGGGGCCAATTTTGACCCCAGGTCTTTTATTTGAACAAACTTGGTAGACATCCATTAGAAGATGTTTCATGCTAAATATCTTAGCTCTAGCTCTTTGGGTTCTTTAAAAGAAGATTTTGTAAGTTTTTACTATATGCATATAGGGAAAATCAATGACCCCCTGGGGCGGGGCCAATTTTGACCCCAGGGCTTTTATTTGAACAAACTTGGTAGACACTCACTAGAAGATGTTTCATGCCAAATATCTAAGCTCTAGCTCTTATGGTTTTTTAAAAGAAGATATTTAAAGTTTTTTCTTTCGGTTGCCATGGCAACCAGAGTTCTGCATGGAATTAAATTCTTTGAACAATTTTTAAAGGTGACCACCAAAGGAACATTCCTGTGAAGTTTGGATGAAATTGGCTTAGTGGTTTATGAGGAGATGTCATTTAAAGTAAAAGTTTACGGACGGACGACAGACGGACGCCGGACGGACGGACGCCGGACGAAAAGCGATCACAAAAGCTCACCCTGTCACTTTGTGACAGGTGAGCTAAAAATACAGTTAGTCCAAACACTTTGAAGTAAGTTAAAACTTAAGCTCTAACTTGATCAACAAAATAGAAAACTTTACTGACCATAAAGGCCTCTGTAAGTAGAAGCCTGGATGGTCGCTGTGGCAACAAGGCAAACAGTTTACTTATAGGCTTGAAGAACTGCATCCTGTCTGAGATACGCTTCAATAAATTCATAATGCTTGTCAGTATATCCTCTTCTACTTTCTGAAAAATATGAAATCTTGTAATAACTAAAAATGTTTTTTAAATATTCCAATACTTTTAAGATGCTAAAACAAAACAACAAAAAATACAAATATTTTAAGATATATGTGAATGGCCAAAACTTACACGTTCATGTAGCTTAATTACAACTAGAAATGTGTCATCATGCCACGGATGCCCCCGCATGCAGCCAAAATTTCAGATGGTGCATTAATTTTTTTTTTTTCATTTTAAGTTCAAAGCCCTTAAAACTTTTCAATGTTAACACAAACCATTTTCATACAATGTTGAAGGCACTGAAATTATTCAGTCTTAACCTTTTAAAAATAGCATATTGCATATTTGTAGCCAAAATAATGAAAGTTCAAAATTTTTCCAACATTCAGGAAAGATAAGTTTTTCTACAATAATTGAACCACGACCAAATTCAAACTTAAACTGCTTATTCCTAAGATGTATCTACATGTGTATATTATTTTCAAAGTAAAAGGGGCATAACTCTGCCAAAAATCATCGAACCATGACCAAATTCGAACTTGACCTGTATTTTCTCATGACATATCCATATGTCAAGTTTGAGTTGAATGTGTTGTACCGTTGGGGAGATAATGAACGGAAACTGAAAATTTCATATTATTTTCAAAGTAAAAGGGGCATAACTCTGCCAAAAATCATCGAACCATGACCAAATTCAAACTTGACCTGCACATTCCTTTGATGCATACATATGTCAAGTTTAAGTTGAATGTGTTGTACCATTGGGGAGATAATGAACGGAAACTGAAAATTTCATATTATTTTCAAAGTAAAAGGGGCATAACTCTGCCAAAAATCATCGAACCATGACCAAATTCGAACTTGACCTGTATTTTCTCATGACATATCCATATGTCAAGTTTGAGTTGAATGTGTTGTACCGTTCGGGAGATAATGAACGGAAACTGAAATTTCATATAATTTTCAAAGTAAAAGGGGCATAACTCTGCCAAAAATCATCGAACCATGACCAAATTCGAACTTGACCTGTATTTTCTCATGACATATCCATATGTCAAATTTGAGTTGAATGTGTGCAACCGTTCTTAAAATAATGAACGGAAACTGATGATGACAGAATGACGGAAGGATGGAAGGACGGAAGGACGGAATGACGGAACAGGGTAACACTATATGCCCCGGCCATTACATGGCGGGGGCATAAAAAAATATATTAAAAAGTCAGATTATGCAAAAGTACACAAAAAACACGATCCAATCCAGTCAATGCTTTAAACAAATGATACTTCATTTCATTGAACTATTACAAATGTTTCAAAAAAACTAAGTTTCTTCAGGTTTATATACAAATTTTAATAATCAGTATTATTAAACACCTAGATACTAATATTTGTAGGTGCATGTAATCTGTTACTTAATGTTTTCATGACTCAGATATAAGAATACCTGATGTTTCAAACATTTAACTTCTCAGGATTTTAATATCTATCTAATTTAGGTTGTAAGTATGAATAAATCTCCTGTATTTTGTTACCCTAGGTTTGGAGTATTTTAATACCTAAAGTTTGTGATATTTTGATACCTAAAGTTTGTGATATTTTGATACCTGAAGTTTGTGGTATTTTGATACCTGAGGTTTGTGGTATTTTGATACCTGGGGTTTGTGGTATTTTGATACCTGGGTTTGTGGTATTATTTTGATACCTGGGGTTTGTGGTATTTTTTTGATACCTGAAGTTTGTGGTCTTTTGATACCTGAGGTTTATGGTATTTTGATACCTGAGGTTTGTGGTATTATTTTGATACCTGGGGTTTGTGGTATTTTGATACCTGAAGTTTGTGGTATTTAGTTACCTGAGGTTTGGATTATTTTGTTACCTAAGGTTTGGAGTATTAAGTTACCTGAGGTTTGGGGTATTTAGTAACCCCAGGGGTTTTTTTTATTACCAGAGGCTTAGAGTAAATAGTTACTTCAGGGTTGTTGTTCTTTTTGTTATCAGAGGCTTAGAGAATTTAGTTACCTCAGGTTTAGGGTATTTTGTTACCTGAGGTTTGGTGTATTTAGTTACCTGAGGTTTAGAGTATTTGGGATTCAAGAAAGGTAGTAGTAGATCAACAAGTGTGGCACTAATTTCCTCATCTTTCACAAAACTGCTGACTCTGTAATAAATATATATATTCCAAATGAATCATAAACATCCATCTTTCAACAGTAAAAGTTTTTGCTTCTCTAAGATTGATTATAAGTGTTTCACAGTTGGTTCAATTTAAATGAAATTTATTTATTCATGATTGTGAAACAAGTTCTTGCAAATTATCTTAATCAAGCTTGTGTGTGTTTCCTGGAACAACCAGTACTGGTGTTATATGAGAAACAATATTGCTTGTGAAATAAGTAAAGATAAAAACCCATGAAAAGGTAGACACATTAAAGTTGTTGCTCTTTTTTATTCATTGTGAGTCTTTAAGTGGTACAAACGAAATGCTAGATTTTTATTATGATAATTGTATATATAAAAAAAAAAAATTTGCTAAAGTTAATAACCCACCAGAACACTTTTGTCATGTTCATTTTAGGAATTCATCAGGTTATGGGCTTATGAAGATATTGTGTCCCCTTTTTGCTAGAAAGATATCCCTATATTATTTTTCATGGGATGGTTTAATCGCTGCAATATTTGGTGTACATACCTTGAAAGAATGTCCAGTTCTTTGCCAGAGATCTTGCTTTTCTTATGAAGTTTTGTATTTAAAGTGGAAACAAAGGATTCTATGTACAGAAGAATATCAGGAATATGTGGCAATAACAGTCGTATACCAATATCACTCTCTGAAATTAATATATAGATTTATATTTTCATCTATCTCTATTTGTTCAAATAACACTACTATAAAACTAGAAAATAACACCTATAGATGCTTCACAATGTTGAAATGACAAAGAAGGAAAATCTATTTTAGCCTTGACCTTGACCTAATTTACCTGAAAACCCATCCAAGGGTAAAGATCTTTAGAAGGTTCCAACACTGTCAGTGAGTGTCTTTTTTACATATGCAAAATGATATCATAGTGAAATAAACATGTTTAAAAGTAAAATTTATTTCAAATATTGACCTTTCACATTTTCAGCAGATGATAGGTGTATCATGTGATTGACCTCAATGACCTTGATATCTTCCTCTTCATCAATCTCCTCCAGAAGATTGTAAACCATCTCCATGATAGAGCTGGTCACATGACTTGATACAGATTTCTTCAGCAGAAGCTTCATCACTTGTGGCAAGGGAGACAACTCTACACTGTCCTTGTGATGCTTTCCCAGCAGTGAAAAATACCTGTAAAAATAAGAACAATCATTTGTATGGCCACAATAATGTTCCTAATTAAAATTTTCATAACATACCATTTTTGAATAAACACTCTGGCTTGTAACTTTACTAAGTTTATTCTAAAGAAATGAAATCTTGAAAAAAAAAATTTCATTCCTGCAAAAAAAACTCAGAAAACCTCATTTAAGTCCATGTAAGATGAAAACTAAATGAAAATTTCCTGCAAAAACTTTGGTCTGAAAATAAGAATTTAATGTTCAAGGCTTGGAAATTTAACAAAACCTTCCCAAATCTGTTTAAAAAAAATAAAGCTAAGAAATTTGCTGAATTTAAAATTCATGGCCTGGGGATAGTGAAGGCCATTATGGAATAAAAAGTTTAATTCAAAATAAATCTCCTGAGGAATAAAGGTGTAATGGCAAAGAATAAAGCTGCATGCAGACAGACAAACTAGACAAAAACAATTTGGCTGATCCACTGATTGTTAGCTACAGTTTTTATGTTGTCATGCTTAAAAGATCCTGTCACACATGATATCATTTGAAGAATATACGTATTTCCTACCTTGGATGTTTGGAGCATTGTATGAGTAATTTCAGCAGTGGTGTAGGATGGTAGAGGCCCTCATAGGATAGTTTATCTAGCTGCGGCCAAACCAGAGCCTCAAACATGGCATCCAACTCAACTGGTCTCCATGGATACTTGTCATAATCTTCCAGTATCTATAAATATGATATCACTTTTATGACAAGACAACTTGTAAAGACAATTTTGATACATTTAAACATAGATGATATAATATAGAAAGGTGCCTGTACATCACATGCCATTAACATTCTAAAAATAGAATTCTAAACAGCATCCCTACAACACATACGGTACCTGATTTCAGATAAATAGAATTCTAAATAAGTTTTGTAAAAATAAATAACTAAATAATCTTAAAGATAAGAATTCTAAACAGGGCTCATAAAACACAAACCTGAATCATTCTATAAATAGAATTTTGTCTAATATCCTTGAGTGGATTTATCACATGTGGTACCAGTCTATCTCTGTTCTCCAGCAGAACAGAACAAAGTGTACCCAGTCCAACTATCATCTGTATAATACTAGGCAAGAAAGAATCCATCAAGTGACCTAGCTTCTTAAAGATCATATCTATTGAATTCAAGGCCCTGTAAGAAAAAAGAAATATTAAATCATTATCGACAGTGGGATAGTAAAATTAATGAAATTCAAAATGATGTAAAAACTAAATTTAGAATAATTTTTACGACTTTTATATAGAAAAGAATCTTTCATTATTACAAGAGGGCCATGATGGCCCGAGATCGCTCACCTGACTTATCAAACTCATCCAAACAATTACCTAGACAAGCATTCTGACCAAGTCTCATGACAGGTGAGTCAAAAATGTGCCCACTACAGTGTTAACAAGGATAATCCATATTTGAGCAGTGCGACCTAGTTTTTTACCCAGGTGACATATATTCAAACTTGACCTAGAAATCATCAAAACAAAACTTTCAGACCAATTTCCAGGTACTTGGATCAAAACAGTAGCAACTAGAGTGTTAACAAGATTTTTCTATTTTTTAGCTCCGGTGACCTAGTTTCACATGCGATTTCGAACTCATCCAAGCAATTACCTAGACAAGCATCCTGACCAAGTTTGATGATAATTGAGTCGAAAATGTGACCACTAGAATGTTAACAAGGGTTTTCCATATTTGGGCGGTGTGACCTAGTTTTTTCATCCAAGATGACCATGTTCGATCTTGACTTACAAATCATCAAAACAAACTTTCAGACCAATTAACAGAATATTTGGATCACAACAGTAGCCATTAGAGTGTTAACAAGATTTTTCTATTTTTAGCTCCTGTGACCTAGTTTTTCATCCGAGATGTCCCATGTTCGATTTATTCCCAGCAATGACCTAGACAAGTTTCCTGACCAAGTCTGATGACAATTGAGTCAAAATTGTGACCACTAGAGTGTTAACAAGGTTTTTCTATTTTTAGCTCCTGCGACCTAGTTTTTCATCCGAGATGACCCATGTTCGAACTCATCCGAGCTATCACGTAGATAAGCATCTTGATCAAGTTTGATGATGATTGATGCAAAAATGTGACCGCTAGAGTGTTAACAAGGTTTTTCTATTTTTAGCTCCGGTGACCTTTTTCATCTGAGATGACCTATGTTCAAACTCATCCGAGCTATCACCTAGACAAACATCTTGACCAAGTTTGATGACGACTGATGCAAAAATGTGATCGCTAGAGTGTTAACAAGGTTTTTCTATTTTTAGCTCCTGTGACCTAGTTTTTCATCCGAGATGACCCATGTTCAAACTCATCCGTGCTATCAACTAGACAAGCATCTTGATCAAGTTTGATGATGATTGATGCAAAAATGTGACCGCTAGAGTGTTAACAAGGTTTTTCTATTTTTAGCTCCGGTGACCTTTCTTTTCATCCGAGATGACCCATGTTCAAACTCATCCGAGCTATCACCTAGACAAACATCTTGACCCAGTTTGATGATGACTGATGCAAAAATGTGATCGCTAGAGGGTTAACAAAGTTTTTCTATTTTTAGCTCCGGTGACCTACATGACCCATGTTCGAACTCATCCGAGCTATCACCTAGACAAGCATCTTGACCAAGTTTGATGATGATTGATGCAAAAATGTGACCGCTAGAGTGTTAACAAGGTTTTTCTATTTTTAGCTCCGGTGACTTACTTTTTCATCCGAGATGACCCATGTTCAAACTCATCCAAGCTATCAACTAGATAAGCATCCTGACCAAGTTTGATGATGATTGATGCACAAATGTGACCGCTAGAGTGTTAACAAGGTTTTTCTATTTATAGCTCCGGTGACCTAGTTTTTCATCCGAGATGACCCATATTCGAACTCATCTGAGCTATTATCTAAACAAGCATCCTGACAAAGTTTGATGATGATTGAGTCAAAAACGTGACCACTAGAGTGTTCACAAGGTTTTTCTATTTTTAGCTCCTGTGACCTAGTTTTTCATCCGAGATGACCCATGTTCGAACTCATCCAAGCAATTGACTAGACAAGCATTCTGACCAAGTTTGATGATGATTGGTTCAAAAATGTGACCACTAGAGTGTTCACAAGGTTTTTCTATTTATAGCTCCTGTGACCTACTTTTTCATCCGAGATGACCCATGTTCGAACTCATCCGAGCTATCACCTAGAAAAACATCCTGAACAAGTTTGATGATGATTGGGTCAAAAATGTGACCTCTAGAGTGTTCACAAGGTTTTTCTATTTTTAGCTCTTGTGACCTAGTTTTTCATCGGAGATGAGCCATGTTCGAACTCATCCGAGCTTTCAACTAGATAAGCATCCTGACCAAGTTTGATGATGATTGAGGCAAAAATGCGACCGCTAGAGTGTTCACAAGCAATTGTGGACGTACGACGGACATTCACCGATCCTAAAAGCTCACCCTGAGCAAGCTCAGGTGAGCTAATAAAAAACATTAACTTCTTGTATATGCCTGAAAACATGTACTTATGCTTTTTAGGCATGAGCTTATACCTTGGTACATGCATATCTTCCGACCTTTAGTGAACAAGCTAATTGTGCATGAATGAGTTAACTCCTTGGTATAACCAATGGCATTTAGTGTACAAGCTTTTCAGCCATGAGCTAATTAATACCTTGACATTTTCACTGACCTTTAGTCTACAAGCTTGATAACTGTTTCGTATAGAAAGTTATATTCTGTGAAAGGTTATATAAGTTAACAAGTTAAAAAGGGTTCTCATTACAGCCAGAAAAATTCTTACCCTTGCATTTTTTTCACAGGTAATACGTTGGTTAAATCTGTATGTTCTTTGAGATCGAGTGCCATCTTATAGGGGTTATCTGAATGAACAGAAAAGTATTATGGATATTTAAAAGCTAGCATTAAACCAAAAGTGGCAATATCAATGCAAAGAATTAAATATGTTTATCACTTGTTTGTCTGTAGTGGAATAGCTGAGTGGTTGATGTATCAGACTAGTAATTTAATGATCGCTATTTGCAAAACCAATCAGGGGCAAGTTGTTGTTTCCTTGAGCAAGAAAATTTACACTCATTGTTGGCACAATTCAATTTCATTTCTGCATAATGTTAAAAGACAATGAAAGATCATAACAGATCATGATGGAAGAAAATTGCGTCTTTACCAAAAACTAGCTAACTTTTGACTAACTCCCAGCAGTTAGCAACTGATTCTACCTAAGTGGCAAGTGTATTACCATGATCAGATGGAACATCCATGCCGTGTGACCATGGTCTGCACTGTTCCATATTCCGTCAGTGCAAACTCTAAAAATCTTCCTTAAACTGATGAATAGTTTTGTCAGATTGAAGGATGAACATGACAATTTAAGATATTTAACATGGGATCTTCGTATATCAATTTTATCCACAAGTGTATTAATCATACAAATTTCAAACATATAAAATCTAAAGACATACCAGTTATAAACTGCTGACATGGAGCAAACACCAAGTCGATGAATATTTTCAATTCTTCGTTCTGACAGCCGTTCAGGAAACGTAATACAATAGACTGTCGAATCTTGCTGAACTGTTTACCAGCTGTTCCCTTCCCCGTCTTTACTTGCATCTTTCCATATAATATTCTGTTTAAAAATTATGATAATTATCTTATTATCAAGTGTTTTTCTTTTGTTTTTGTGTTTGATCAAAATTCTAATTAACACTTTGAAGGTCAAAATATTATGACAACTTTCCAGCTTTACTGGTCCTGATGGACCTAAGATACCTCTTTGTGCATTATTTCAAACAAAAGAGAGCACCTGAGAAAAACTTCTGACCTTCCATAACTAGCTAGATATATTCCTTGCATAGAATCCAAAGTAGCCTTTATCTAACTGCTTCTGACCCACGTTGGCAAAATGTGCCAGCATTATGCTTATTTACCATGTCAGCAGCATTTTCAGATATTTCCTGACTGCTCCTTATAGAGATTCAAAATTAGATATGAAAACTATACTATAATATTGGATTGAGATATTGACAAAATTAGCCAAATCTATTCATACAAAGGATGTAAGCTATAGTTACCTCATCAGTATAGGGAGCACCTCGGCTCTATGATCCTTATCTATAACACTGTTCTCATGGTCTATACTGAACAGTACAATCTCATTCTTGAATGACTTATCCTCTAGAAGTCTGTTGAAGTTATCCCTGAGAAAAAAAAACAACACAAAATAATTTTTTAACTAATTTTTATCATATATCAAACACCAAAGTTTATCACTCTTTTCTTGGCAATTTCACAATAAATCAAATATTTATTAATTCCACTTTTGTTACAAAACAAACACATTTGCATAGACAGCATCTACTGGAATTTCACAATAAGACTTTTACTTTTCAATTCAAATGTTTTATAAAGTTAATATAATGCAAGTACTTTAGTGATCTTCATCTCCCGACTTTATTTAAAACAGTCAAATCAAAGAGAAAAATTTCACTGCAATAAGACTTACCATTATATATAAATTAATCTGTTCCTGTTATAATAATAACTTACCTATATGGTGTAAGGTACTTAAACTTGTAGGTTAAAATACACTGAAAGGCTGTCCGCTGTACATCTGCATCTTTGTGAATTAGCAACTGAAATATGGAAAAAAACTCTTAGAATACACAAACTGCTACCTACCGGTACATATATATGGATCTTCATCAACGTTTTAAAACATTGTACATTAATTTCTATATAAATCTTCTTACTGTTTTTAACTCTTTGCAAATATCTTGTACTATTACAACAATTTGGAGACCAATAAGAAGAAATGCTATGCTTTCAACTTTTACCCTGCATATAAAAAAGTCAGACAAGCAAATAAATTAAATACATCCATTTAGACAATTTAAGTTTATCAATTTTTTTTGGTTTTTGTTTTGAGTTTTACGTCACACCGACACAGTCTAGGTCATTTGGTGATGTTCAAGCTTTACTGGTGGAGGAAGACCTCAGAAGCCCTTCCGTACATTATTTCAGGCACGAACGGGCACCTGAGTAGAACCATGGATGTTCCATAAGCTAGCTGGATAGCTTCCTCACATGAAAGAATCTAAAGTCCCTGACGGGATTCCAACCCACAGTGGTGAGAGGCAAGTGGTTTGAAGTCAACGACCTTAACCACTCGGCCATGGACACCCCTAAGTTTATCAATAAAACTGATGCAGCATTAACAAACAACTGAGCCATATTTCAATCATGTAAAACAACTTACATCAAAATAAAGCTGTCTTAGTTGAGGTTCCATGTACATTGACTTTGGATCCTTAAATTTTGCAAACAACTCCAGTTGAACTAACAGAGATCCTGCTGCAGCTTTCCTCTGCTTCTTAACAACAGCTATACCTTCATCTTGCTTACTTGATTTATCACCTTTCCTTCCAACTTTCTTATTCTTTCCTTCATCAGCGTGTTTATCAACATCTAAATTATCATTCTCCGCCTCATCAATTTCCATTTCATCTTCACTTTCATGTATTGCACTTAATCTTTTCTTTCCTTTACGTTTGTCATCCACTTCATTCATTTCTACATCACCATCACTTTCTTCTTCCTCATTCATCCTTTCCTCCTCATCACCTTCATCATCATCACTATCATCATCTTCATCATTAAACATTTCTTCATCACTGGAATCCAGTTTAGAAGATCTGGTCCTCATTCTTCTGACAGGACTAGCTTTCTTAGACTTATCAACTTTATCCTTCAATTTATCTACTTTTATCTCACTTTCACTATCTCCCATACTTCTAGTTCTTATTCTAGTCAGGTTTCCCTTTTTCACTGATTTACTTGAATCAAGATCAGATTCTTCTACATCACTATGTTTTCTATCTCTAGTTCTTAATTTTCTACTTGTTTCCTTAGATTCATGAAGCTCACCATCAACACTACATTGACTTCTAGTTCTAACTCTATGAATACTTTCACTGTTACCGTTATCTTCAGTTCCATCCATTTTAATCTTCCTCGTTCTATTTCTGGTATTTGGCTTTACATTTTCTATATCCTCATCACTAGAGTCATCAGATTCACTTTCATTTCCATCTTTAGCTTTTCTATATGACTCTTTTGAAATGTTAATTGAATCTATTGCCCCAGTTTCATCTGTGTCCATATCATCAGGATCTTGTGTTTTCTTCAGGACATTCTGACTTGGAGCAACACTTAAATCGGTCAGATAGTACTCATTTCTGCAAAACACAAAATAAAACCTTATTTTATATGACAAAAGGAGATACAGACATGACTGTACATCACATTTTTTAAATACAGTATAATCCCTACTTAAGATCACCTCAGAATTAAGACCACCCACTATTAAGACCACTTTTTAAAAGAACGGAATTTTCTGTTCTTTATGTCAATGGTTACATGATCCAGAATTAAGACCACCTCACTTATCCACTTTTAAGACCACCAAATTCAGTCCCAATTCTTTGTTTTGTTCGTTATTTGACCTCACTATTGAGGCCACTGATATTAAAGTCAACACCTTCCAGTCCTGCCTAGATCTTAAATTTGTTGTTATGTTGTTATTATCTGCTTGATTGCTCCTTGGCATGACACCTGACTTCAGACGGTGTCAAAAACTGTTATTTATGGAAATTATGGGATATCATATGAAATAAGGTTAGAAAGTAAATTTAGAGTGGTTTAATGTTGCTGTAAGCACATTTATTTTGTGAAGAAATAATGTCTTGAATGATATGTGAATTATGTACATCATAAAATAATTAATATTGAAATCAGAACAAAGAGAATTTGATTTTAAATTTCTTCAGAAATATGTTTTCTTCCTGTAACATTATAACATACTTTTACAATGTATTTGCAGGTTAAGATACATATTGTTTGTTCATACAAAATGACTAAAACAGATCATGGTCATAACATGTGTAAGCAATGATAAGAATATCCACAATTAAGACCACCGCACAATTACGACCACTTTAGTCCAGTCCCAATGGTGGTCTTAATTGAGGGTTTTTACTGTATTTTTCCGGTAAAATTATTCAGTAATTAATGGCCAAATATAGATTTAAACCCTTATACTTAGAAACCAGGAAAACCGGTGGAAATTGAAAGGAAGTTGTTGACTTTTTACCATCATTTAAATATCTGAATCATCTGATTCTACCAGTGATCATGGCCTGCACTGTTTGCCATTCAGACAGTGCCTATTTTGAAATTTTTCCCTATAATTGATTGATTAATGGTTTAGACCAGACATAAAGATGGATAAATCCATTTAAGATATTTAGCGTAGTACTTAATGGTTAATTCTGTAAGAAAAAAGTGCATACTTACGACAGAAATCTAAATAACAAAGGAACAAAGACTCTAGATTTTGATGAGCACTTCTCTGGGAATTCATGCATAGTTTTCCACAATTGTACTCTAAAGTTACTGTAACTTGGAGAAATTTCTTCACTGCCGTTCAGCTCTTGTACAGAGTGCTTGAACATTGATTCTACACTGTCAATTTGTTCATCACCTACTTCTGTCTTCTTTGAATGTACATTGCAAAACAACTCTTCTTCTGCATTATAAAATACATGTATATATTTTTTGAGCATTATCTTAAGATAACTATTTACAAATAAGACAGATTCAAGCTTTTTGATTCATATTATTACAAAAAATATTATATTCAAAGGGGCTCCCCTGAGGTTTTTTTAAACACGATGGAACCGGAAATATTTTTTCCGAGATTTGAGTACCATTTGATGCAGGTCTAAACCAGAAACTTGTGTACATATTTTCAGATCATTCTCTCACCCTGTTTTTCTAGAACAATCATTTTTTAGTTTGCAAAATGATCATAAAAAGGAAAATCAATGCACAAATCTGTAAAGAATTGTACCAACATTTCTCAATGAGATTCTAAGTACCATCATTTTTCAATGAAATTCTGGGTATAATATCCTTTGCAGAGTTTTCCATTTTAAGCACTTCACTTGATCTATGTACGAATTCCAAATATTATGTATTGAGGCCTTTTGACCTCAGTCAAGTTTCTTTAAGCTATGATATTAACATTACATTGATATAAGTCATAATACTGGCTGGTGTGCAAGTGTTGTTTACCAAACAATCAATACTAGGCTTTCATCACAACTTTCCATCATAAGAATGATGGTTCAGTAAATAAGGCAAAGTACAGCAGAAATGTGAATTGAAAAAAACTTTTATAACAGTTATATTAACATCACATCTATGATATTACATTTGAACTATTTGCTTAATATATGTTTTCACAATAAAATTTGGTATTCAGGTTGAACTTTTATTAAAATAGTATATAATTTACCTGCTTTAGTTGAGGCCACCTCTAACTGGACAGAATAAATTTCCCAGAATACATCTCTCTCCATATTGTGAGCATGACTGGAAATCAGTGTTCTGATTGGTTCCCACAACAGTTTAAACTTCACAAACAGGCTTCCTATCAAATATCTCAAGGGAACCTGGAAAAAAGTACCAAATATATTGCAGACCAAAAATCATTCATTTTTTTATTTTACAGATGTACATGTACTTTTCATAACCAATGGTATTACTTAAATTTAAAAGATATGCAGGTCACTTTTGTTGTGATTTATCATGAAATCCTTTCTATGGTCATTCGCACTGTTCCTTTGCTCTGACATGTACAAAAGTTATTAGTTTCTTGTGAGAGTGATAACATCTAGTGCTGGTTAAATGCCAGACAACCTGCCAAAGAACAATGTGGTGGCTGAACTGCGCTCTGCTAAATCAAATGTGGCTTACTGTCAAAGTAAAACTACAATCACCACCACCACTACCACTACCATTTGTTCATCTTTAAAACTGAACATAACCATTCATCATTTTTATAAAGAAATTTCAAAATATAATATTGTGACTAAATAGACAACCGTGCAGATAATATTAATCACACAGCATGGATGTGCCAGCTGATCTTGGCCTAAATATATTACATAATTTAAGTGCCGCAAGCAGAGTCATTTTTTTCATTCCATTTAAAATCTCCATAACTTACAATGGACCGTTCCTGGTCTTGTCCAGGGAAAGGGTTAAGTAAAACATATAAATCAATTAAAGGCAAGCTTTTTACCTGACTGAATGGTCCAGCAGGTATACTGTTCTGTACTGTTGTATAGTCTAATTTCTGAAGGTGCCGAAGTTTCTCACGATATTCGTGCACATTTGCTGGAGTGGTCTCTGCACACAGACAAATTTTGAATACATCCAACACTTCAAAATCCTGTAAAACAATATAAACAAGAAATGTCAGATGACACATATGCCCCCCTCTCTAGCCCTGGACTCATATTATTGTTAATTTTGTTATAGAAACTTGCCATAAATGGACACATGGAAGTGTTCAGTTATGAAAAAATATAATAATGACCTACTAGTTATAACCTATCAATATGTGAATTATAGACTTTGACCTTTGAACTAGTAACCCCATTATAATTAATCAATATGTGAAATATGAAGACTTTGCGAGTTAAAGTTTTCAAGGTAATAAGCAGAAACCATTCTTACATTTAAGGCCACTACATATGGCTATTCAATATGTGAAATATGAAGACTTTGTGATAAATAGCTTTCAAGAAAATGAGCGGAAACCATACTGACCTTCAAGGCCCATGTGACATTGACCTTTGAACTAGTGACCCCTTAATCAATAAGGGTCATCTACTAGTTATGACAAATCAGTATGTGAAATATAAAGACTTTGTGATAATAGTTTCTAAGATAATCAGCGGAAACCATGAGGTCTACCAACAGACAGACCGACAGACCTACTGATCGACAGACATTAGCATAACAATATACCCCCTCTTCTTTGAAGATGGGCATAATATCATATTGACAGTACAGTGGAACCTGTCTAATCCAAACTCGTCCGTACCAGAAGAAAAGTTCGGATTAGAAAGGTTTCCGGATTAGAAAGGTTTCCGAATTAGAAGGTTTTTTTTACATGTTTTTATCATGTTATTTGCAAAATAGTTTAAGGAAAGAAAACGGTAATGCATTTGAAATTGCAATTTAGATATTTTATTTTTGCAGTCTCGTATCGTTCATTTTAATACATGTGAATACAAAAATAAAGAAATAAAAATAAAAAAATAAGCAAAAATATTATCCTCAAGGGTAAAGTAACCTACGATGTTAAACAGGAGGCCGAGACATGATTAGATATTCGTACCAGCATTTGTCAATTGTTGTTTACTCTTATCCGATTCAGCGACTATCCGAACTCACTGACAGTTTCCATTAATTTTCATTACTTAATCACGTATCATTGAATCCAATACAAGGGATTAAAAGATATTTCTATTGCATTATATCAAAATATTTATAGAAGCTGACGAAAAACAATCAATTAAGCAATTATAGAAGATATCAAGGCAAGCTAAGTGTAATTTTCACACCTTCGCAGAATTTACGTTTCACCCATTAATCAAGCGAAATAACACTTATCAGTTTGGTGTATGTTTACACCTGCAAGATGTGCGATTATTTGTTATTTTGAATGAAGGTGTGACATTTGGCAAAATCTGTTCGGATCCGAGAGGTAAATTTTAGAGTAAAATAAGAACAAAAATTGAAAAAATTGTCCGGAATTTGGAGTAGACAGGTTCCGGATCCGAAAGGTTTTTTACTACTGAACATAGAACGAATAAAATCTGGACCGGACACTTCGTTCGGATAAGAAAGGATTCCGGATTAGAAGGGTTCGGATTAGCAAGGCTCCACTGTATCAGTTTTTTGTGTTTGTGTTATTTTTTATATTTAAACTTTGATAATTTGATCTATTCATTTATTACTTTTATCAAAGTAACTCAGTTAAATGCTTTTGCAAAATATCACAAATTGTTGATTAAATGAAGAGTTTAAACAACATAAGTATCACAGAGAAAATACTCACATTTGGTGGTAAAGGCAGATCAAAGCTTGAAAATATTCTCAATGTATGTAAACGCACCTGAAATACAAATATAACATCAGTATAATAACCTTCACTATGTTACAAATCTTGACTGGCCTTGTCCCAGCTTTCAATCAGGACACAATCATTCATTTATTTCATGAATTATTTTGTAAATAAGTTTACAAACTGAATAGGGGACAGTACAGACCATGATCAGACAGCACAGATGTAGCAGCATATCTTGGTCTGCACTGGTCACATCAGTAAATCAGTCACCACCAGAGCATTACCTGATTGTTCCCTCATCCTGCTTTTCCAAAATCATCATTTCTATTGTATAAAATGGCCCAAAAAGAAAGCGTTGCAATGCTTTTCACACAAATGGGCTAAGAATCTTACAAATTTTCGATCCTGAGCATATTTCTTTATTATTTTTTTGAAGATTTTTCCATTTTAAGTGCTTAACTGGATTTGTATAAGAATTTCAATGTTGGCGTTTTTAAGCCGTTTGACCTCAATTGAGTTCCTTTAACAATATACATGCAATTCATTCAATTAAGTCTATATACATCAGGAAATAATGTGTATTGTTGAAAAAGTTGCTTTCAAAATTCAAACTTTCAATACTTACCAGTGAGTGAGGAGAGGAGAGGTTTTCTTGTAGAATAGGGAATATTTTCAGTAAGATATCAGCACTTAGAACATCCTCATACTTGGTGTTTACTGCATGTGTGAAGTATATATCTACCAGCCTCAGTATATGAACACTTTTGCTTTTGTTACTAAAACCATAAAATAATTTAAAAATTATATATATGAAGTGATTTTTGTTTGTACAGTACTGTCATGATATGATCATGTACATGCATATGGACCTATAAGACACAAATTATATATATGAAGCTATTTTTGTTTGCACTGTCATGCTTGTATTATCTTGTAGCATATTCATTTCCTTTTTGTATATTTTTAGCATTTCCTATATCCTAGAAGTGTTAACTATTTCTTTATTTTCTATACACAAGTCTACTAGGTGTGTAAACTATTCTGTACTATCTATATACATTCTTTAATCAGTGTTAACTGTTTTTCTTTTAAATGTAAGAAAAGCTGGACAGCAGTACAGCATCAGCTGGACAGTGCCACAGCAGGACAGACAGACAGACAAGGGTGAATCTATATGCCCACCCTTAAATGGAGACAATAAACTTGAGAGGTAAATTACACAAAATTTGCAACCTTTTTGACTCACCCCTAACATTAAATGGGCAGTTCTATAATGATGAACAATATATAGATGTATACTAATTCATAATTAATACTAAACATAACCAGTCTGCATAGCTCAATTGGTTAGAGCTTGAGACATTCTGGGTTTTAATCCTAGGCTGGCCAACAAAAATACTAAAACAGACTTTCGGATGAGACTTTAAATTGAGGTCCTGTGTTTGAGCTCTTAAACACTTGGCACATCAGAGAACTAGGAGAAGCTTCTGGAATTGGGGCATCTTTCTGTATCTGTATCTTGCACTATCCTCCAAAAGTCTGAAAAGGACTTATATTCTTCTGGAGGAATTGCCCATATGGGCTACCAATGGCGAGAATAAATAAACTGAAATACACGCCAAAATACTAACCATACACATTTGATGACAGTGTCTAGAGGTACATGCTCAAACAAGTCTGTATCATCTGTCATCGTCACCATAGAAACCAGGACCTGGCTTGCCAGGAATTCAGTATTTTCTCTATCTTCAATAACATCAACTTCACTGTTCATTAATTCTTGGATCAACTTAGACAGCATCTCTAAATGTTTTCCTTTTTCTTTTAAAGGCCTGAGGAAAAACATCATCATAAATAACAACTTTTATCCTAAATAATAATCATTTGAGATTCTGAAAACAAAAGTCAGTGACATAAGGAAAACAGTATGTATATTATTCTTGCATATCAGACAGGATTTTCTACTGTTTAGATGGTGCTAGTAAAATTTATCTAACTCCCTAACCCCCCCCCCCCCCACAGAGGAATCACATGCTTCATATGACTGACAATCTTAACAGTAATAATAACTACTCCACCAGTTTTAAGCACTGCTTGCCTGAACTTAAGGGTAGTAGGATCTAGGTTGTTATCCTTTCAATTCTATAAGTTTTATTTCAAAATCCCTCATTACTAAAATGGGTAGTCCTACATGTGTATTAACACTAGTGTAAGTTTATCACATTTCATTAAGCACACTTAATGTGAAGAACCATTTTGTAATAGAAAACAAACAATATCTCTAAACAATAATACTGTTACACTTGTATATACATGTACAATGTTTATTTATGAGCAGGCACCTGGGTTTAACCAGCAATCTTCCGTAAGATACTTTTTTTACTTTTATGATGTACTGGTTTGACATCTACATATCTTCATTAATATCTTTTTAACATCTTGTAACAACCCTTCAACAATTAATTATAATCTCACTCACCTGACATGAGGCACACAAACTAGAGCTGCCCAAATCTTTGTCACACTTGTAAAGTTACCTGTTTCAAAACTTACTTCTAAACACTTTGAAATATACCCTGGAAAGTTGTTCTTTAATGACCTGCAAAATGACATTTTATCCTAGGATATAAACTTCATGATGTCATTTGAAAATTGTTTTAAATGTTAATATAAAATAGAAAAGGAAATTGCACTTTATCCCTTGTTGCAAAAAGCTTTCTTTTAACCATACAGAAAGTACATACTAGTATACAAAGTTATTACATATTTATTTCGAATATTTTTAAATTCAAATTAAAATTCATAGCAATCAATTTAAAATTTAATCCCAAATGACACACTTTACACCTACCCTGTTCCAAAGTCCAACATATATGTTTCCATTTGGTCTATCTGGCTGCCATCAGCAGGCAGGGGACATTTATTCAGCAATAATTGAGTTATCAATAACAATGTCTGCTCCTGTATGATGTCACTTCCTGTCATACAATTATCACAGTACTTGAGTAGGGACGGTAGCACATCTTTCTCAAATAGGGCCAGGTCGAACAGCCTCCGTGTAAAGTCATATATCATACCCACTGGATAACTGGTCTTAAATACCTACAATAATCATATATCATTACCACTGGATAACTGGTTTTAAATACGTACAGTAGTGATTAATCATACCCACTGGATAACTGGTCTTAAATACCTACAATAGTCATATAGCATACCAACAGGTTAACTGGTCTTGAATACCTACAATAGTCATATATTATACCCACTAGATAACTGGTCTTAAATACCTACAATAATCATATATAACTACTGGATAACTGGTCTTAAATACCTAATTTTTGTATTTTAGTGCTGAAAATCATTGAATTTGAATAGATTGTTTAGAATCAAAAGCTATGTAAATCAATGACATAAGTTTATCAGGTTAAGGTTTAATTGATGACTAGAAATAACAAATGTAAAAGTGTACATCATTTCTAACAGCAAAACTTGATACAATGAACCATCATAACAATCTGCTCAGTTCTCAATCATAATCTATTAAGTGGAAGTGTTTGAAAATGGCATACCATTGGAATAAAAAACATGTCCCATTGCCATCAAAAATGTAATATTCAATAAAGTGTCTACTTACTGCAGGTAAAAGTTTAGATGTGTTCTCAATCTCAAGTTTAGAGTGACTGGTTATCAGAAGACATCCTGACATATCTAGTATAACCAGCCCAGTTGATTCTGGTAGACTGGGTCCCCTTACAATCTCTATCAAAACCTAAATTGAGAAAACAATAGCCAAACTATTATAACTACATTGCACGGCGTAACACCTATTATTGCTTATTTACTACATTTTCTAATTAATGTGGATTTAAAATCCATTAGGACTTTCTTTAATTGACTCATTTGTAAAATTCATTTGTACTACTTTAAAACATTTCTAACCTTCAATAAACTGATTACAATGCCATACTACATTCTACTAGACATATGGTATAAAACAGATTTTTATTAAGAGTGTTTATAAATGATTAACTTGGATTTACAACATGAAATGTATATATTCACAACATGTTTTTCATTCAAGGACTCTGTATCCTCATTATATTTATATAATGACCACAATCTGAGGTTAATTCAGTTATGCTGAAATTCTGAAACACTGAAATTGTAAAAAAGAATCTAAACAAAATATAGATACAAAAGAAATATATATGCATTTACAAATGCTACAAATGACACATATTGATTACAATTATCAATAAAAGTATTACCTTTGCTATGTTGTCAGGCTTAGTTATCAATTTCCCATTGTTATATTCCACCAAGGTTTTCAACAACCTTAACTGCCTCTCCAGGGTGTCTGTTACCTTAAGTTTCTCTGAGATTTTCTTCTTATTGTCAAACCTACTGTAGGTCTCACTTATAGATGACTGAAAGAAAAAGGGTTTCTACATTGTTTGCTTATAAAACATATTTATTAAGCTCGATTGCACAACAAGTTCTTGCAACTTATATTAATCACTTTCAAGTCCGCTTCCTGGAACCAACCAGTACTGGTGTCATATGAAGAAACATGGTCATGACCCGAGTAGGGATCAAACCCATGATGTCTGGGTTGAGAGGCAGACACCTAAACCACTAGACCACCTCTCCCCTTTGTCTACATTGTTTCTGTTGGGTAACTTAAGTTGCAAATAAACTATTATGATCATGTCAAAATGTTTCACCCTCTGCTGTTGATAATGTCACTCAAAGCTTGTTTGTTTGTTTAATTAACTTGTATGCCATTTTTTTCAACATGTTTGGTTATATCTCAGCAGTTGGTCTATCTAACTGACTTTCCTGGAAAACCAGAAATTACTTAATTCTTTACAAATAACCAACTATATGTACTAATCCCACATGTTATCTTTTAAAGCTGTGAGAGACAAAGACCACTGGACCCACTCCCAAGACCGAATGTCGCAGAAAGATTTCACCTCACCAGAGTATCAAACCAGTGACCCATGGAGTCCCCCAAAGATTTTTTTGTTCACATATGGGTACCTAAGTAGTATAAATATCTTTCTGTAATCTTGCTAAGAGTTCAACAGCCACAGTAGGGAAGAGATTTGAACCTTCATAAGAAAGGGGCAAGTAATCTAAAGTCATTAATGACCAAAGTGGCCATAAGGCCTAAGTTTGTAAGACAACCAAGAAAATAAGAACCGGTTGAACCGGGTGATGCTCCCCGAGAAGGTTCTGGACACAGAAAAGTATAAAAAAAATGAACAAAGGGCAAAAACTCCAAAATTAGGCAAAGCGGAGTTATGTTTTTTTGCACTGCACTTCTATTCAATGAGATCTATCTATCTATAAAGTTTCCTGATGATATCAGAGTTATGTCCCGGGTAAAAGTCAAAGTGTAAAAATGAACAAAGGGCAATAACTCCAAAATTAGACCAGGCTTTGTTTAGGTTCTTTAAGCATTGCAGTTCTATCCAATTATATCTAGCTACCTACAAAGTTTCATGTTGATATCTCAAATAGTTTTAAAGTAATGTCCAGGACAAAAGTCAAAAAGTAAAAATAAACAAAGGGCAATTACTTCAAAATAAGGCAAGGCAGAGTAATGATTCTTAAGCACTGCACTTCCACCCAATGAGACCTATCTATCTACAAAGATTCATGTTGATATCTCTTATAATTTTAGAGTAATGTCCCAGAAAAAGTTCAAAGTGTCAAAATGAACAAAGGGCAATAACTCCAAAAGTAAGCAAGACAGTGTTACAGTTCTTGTGCACTGCAAACTTACTCAATGAGATCTATCTACCTACAAAGTTTCATGTTGATATCTCTTATACATTAAGAGTTATGTCCCGGACAAAGTTCAAAGTGTAAAAATAAACAAAGGGGGATAATTCAAAAATGAGGCAAGGCAGAGGTAAGGTTCTTGTTCACTGCACACCTACTCAATGAGATCTATCTACCTACAAAGTTTCATGTTGATACCTCTTATACTTTTAGAGTTATTTTCCCGGACAAAGTTCAAAGTGTAAAATAAACAAAGGGGATAATTCAAAAATTAGACAAGGCAGAGTTACGGTTCTTGTGCAATGCACACCTACTCAATGAGATCTATCTACCTACAAAGTTTCATGTTGATAGCTCTTATACTTTTAGAGTTATGTCCAGGACAAAGTTCAAAGTGTAAAATAAACAAAGGGGAATAATTCAAAAATCAGGCAAGGCAGAGTTACGGTTCTTGTGCACTGCACACCTACTCAATGAGATCTATCTACCTACAAAGTTTCATGTTGATACCTCTTATATTTTTAGAGTTATGTCCAGGACAAAGTTCAAAGTGTAAAATAAACAAAGGGGGATAATTCAAAAATTAGGCAAGGCAGAGTTACGGTTCTTGTGCACTGCACACCTACTCAAAGAGATCTATCTACCTACAAAGTTTGCTGTGATACCTCTTATACTTTTAGAGTAATGTCCCGGACAAAGTTCAAAGTGTAAAATAAACAAAGGGGGATAATTCACAAATTAGGCAAGGCAGAGTTACGGTTCTTGTGCACTGCACACCTACTCAATGAGATCTATCTACCTACAAAGTTTCATGTTGATACCTCTTATACTTTTAGAGTTATGTCCCGGACAAATTTCAAAGTGTAAAATAAACAAAGGGGGGTAATTCAAAAATTAGGCAAGGCAGAGTTTCGGTTCTTGTGCACTGCACACCTACTCAATGAGATCTATCTACCTACAAAGTTTCATGTTAATACCTCTTATAATTTAGAGTTATGTCCCGGACAAAGTTCAAAGTGTAAAATAAACAAAGGGGGATAATTCAAAAATTAGGCAAGGCAGAGTTACGGTTCTTGTGCACTGCACACCTACTCAATGAGATCTATCTACCTACAAAGTTTCATGTTGATACCTCTTATACTTTTAGAGTTATGTCCCGGACAAAGTTCAAAGTGTAAAAATAAACAAAGGGGAATAATTCAAAAGTTAGGCAAGGCAGAGTTACGGTTCATGTGCACTGCACACCTACTCAATGAGATCTATCTACCTACAAAGTTTCATGTTGATACCTCTTGTTGTTTCAAAGTTATGTCCCGGACAAGAAAAGGGGACGGATGGACGGACGGAAAGACGGAGGGACAAGGCGGCGACTATATGCTCCCCCGAAATTTTTTCGGGGAGCATAAAAAGTGAAACTCAAGTCAAAGTTGTACTTGTATATCTAACATGTCCAGCATTAATCAACACAATTCACAAAAAGTCTCTTTTTACTCCATTGCTAGACAGTATTAGATGATAACAATAAAGTCTCGTTCATAACCATCGTCGGATACCCACGATTGATAAACATGTCACATAACATGCAATCAACCGTGGGTAAAATGAATCGATTTGCATCGATATACAGCAACAGGTGCGTAAAATATCAATCAATGACATCGCGTTTAACAAATCTATATTCTTCAACAGCGGAGGTAAAAAACAATAAGAAACAAAATGGCAGCGCCCATGGTTAAAAACTGTTGAACGTGTCTTGCTAAAATCAATAGCAAAAACTATCGCCAAATCAGTTCTTTTGCAAGCAGATATCAATCAGAAAGGAAAACATCACGCTGTAAAAGCAAATTATCTATACTTTCTTGCTGGAAATCGTTAAATTTTTCGATGTTGAACTTTTCACTTCGTCTATGGTTGTCGCACTATTGTCTGTAATACAGAACGTCGTACAGAACGAGCGTTTTGATTGGTTTTAATCGCCTCATGAAATCGTGAGGCAGCCAATGAAATAGCTGCCTTTGACACACCTCTAACCAACTGAATATCGGCAAAAAATCCCACGGCTGATAAATGTTAATGGTTCGGCCGTGGGTATCCGACGATGGTTCATAGCAGACTTCACAAGTCTGTGTTTTCAAAATTGCAAACATTGTATAACAATAAATATGGTGAAAATTTGTTTTATAACCAAATACATATGAAATATTTACCAATAGCAAATCTAAGATCTGTGCCATGTGCTCCCTGTTGGAATGACCTGCCATAGAAACAATCAATGTTGTCATAGAAACCTCCACCTGTTGCCATGGTAATACATGTTGTTTCTCCCCTGGCCCCAGCTTCCTCAACAGTATAGGAAAAACCTGGAAAATCATAAATGTATTTTTTAAATATAATGCTTTACTAAACTAAATATAATGAATCAATTAAAGAAGTTAAGCATTGCACAAAATGCAAACATCTTAATATAAAACTTTGTGCAAAAAAATGAAGGCTCCATTGTTTCTTTTTTATATATTTTTTTACTTAAATACAGTTTTGCAGTCCGTAATTTAATAAATATCCACTCTAAATAGCACATACATGAAGTTTAATGTATATAAATATGGCAAATATAAATTTTTTTGTCAAAATGGCCAAGATCTCTCTCATAATTAAATTATTAATTCATGGAAAGATAACAGAACCATCCAAGCAACTTTGGCAACAAGGACACAATCTTGTATTATTCAGTATATTATACCTTCTCTGTACAGCTATGGAACTGTTCCTTTACTCCTTTCATCATTTCAAACAGCAGTCTTCCAAGGCCCTCAGCTTTCTACACATGTAAATGAAAAAAACATGTGGCAAATAAATACCCATTACCTTTAAGCTGGATTTTTTCTTCTTGACTTTTCAAGCTTTGGATTTTTGGAACCATAGCTTGCTAATATATGTTTATTTGAAAACAGTGAATACTAACAGTGAGCAACTAACCAAACATTGTCTGGTGAAACTACAATTGTGCATATGGGGCTGCCTCTTCAAAGGTGACATAGGGAGGTAGTTATCACTAATGAGTGAGACTTAAAAAAATGGATTTGAGCACCACACTAAATACTGTATTCCGGTATATACCGGACAAGACGCTTGAATGATAAATGCTAAAATCTTGCCTTTTCACCCAAAAGAATGAACTTTAACACACCAATTTATGTATGATAATGAATGAAAAATGTAAAAATCAGCCAAAAAAATGATATTTGTCTATTTTGTGATCATGATTTCTGAAAGCATCTAGAAGTACTGCTCCAGTCCTGTTATGAGTTAAATCCCTCACTTATAGCATTCAGAGGGTCAGTCTAATCCCAGATATCAAATAAATCACTTAAACCATCAGCCATAAAATTATATTCTTTTTCAAAATCAATCTATTTTGCCATAAAATTATATCCTTTTTCAAAATCAATCTATTTTGCCATAAAATTATTTTCTTTTTCAAAATCAATCTATTTTTCCATAAAATTATATTATTTTTCACAATCAATCTATTTTTCCATAAAATTATATTATTTTTTACAATCAACCTATTTTATAATAAGGCAACATAACTTACATCTGGCTCCTCCTCTAGAGTAGAAAACAAGAAGTCAAACAAAGCTGAAGGATCTTTTGACTGAAATACAAAATATTTTTGAAATTAAAAACAATCAGGTTATTAGCCCCTACATCACAATTTTAAGGTCATATGGTGACTTTCCAGCTCAAGTGGTGGAGTACGACCTCAGGTGACCTTGATGCATTATTTCTGGCATAAGCCAGGACCTGAGTAGAACCTATGACCTTCCGTAAGCTAGCTAGATAGCTTCCTCACAGGAAGGAAACCTAAAGTCCCTGCTGGGCTTTGAACAATAAGTCACGGAAAACATGCAAGATAATGTAAATCTTGCTAAATATATAGTTTGCATATATACCTGGATTTCGTAGTTATTGAATTACTATTACTTTACCCTTTCCATATACATTGTATTTTTTAATATTTACTATATTTTTGTTATAGACTTGTGTCATTCTTCAAATCTATATTTAATGTATATGCATTCTATAGACTATCCAAACTAATTTCATTTTTTATTTGGGATAAAATCAACAAATCTCAATACATTATACTTTACATATTTACATAAAATAATCTTTAAATGTTAAATAAGTAAAGAATGATTTGATGAAAGTTATAAATATCTGTTTACCTTTCTCATGAGAAATGCAAAACTTTCAGCAGCAAAGTTTCGAACATATTCTTTGTACTGTTTACTAAGCAGAGATGAAAAATATCTGAAAGCAGAAAAAGGTAAAACATTATCATATTGTATCTAATGAAACAGTAATATGTAAAAATTTGAGAAAAAAAACACGGTGCTATCATTTATTTATCAGTTTATTTTTTTGGTTGAGTTTTCCATCGCACCAACACAGTATAGGAGATATATCGAATTTCCAGCTTTACTGGTAAAGGAAGACCTCAGGTGCCCCTTTGTGCATTATATTGGGCACAAACAGGCACCTGAATAGAACCACTGACGATTGATAAGATAGCTGGCTAGCTTTCTCATATAAAAGAATATGAAGACATTGGCGCAGATCAAACCTACAGCAGTGAGAGGCAAGTGGTTTGAAGTAAAAGCCCCTTATTAACATTTATATTTATATGTGTTCCACACCAGTAAACAAGTTCAACTTGAACCATAGCTATAGTTCACTTTTAAATATGAACCATACCTCAGTGTAAATAAACTTACATTTATCTGACACTTACCTGTATACAAGTTGTATATCTTTCAGCAGGTATCTCCATAGAAACTTGAAGATGTATGACAGACAGGTGAACGTGCTCTCCAGAACTTCAACATCCTTGCTGTATGTATTCAATAGAGTTACTAGAATATCAAAGAACTCGTGGAAATGCTTGTAAAAATCTGTTTGTAAGTCTCTAGCTAATTGCACTAACAAACTGAAAAAAATAACGTAAGGGTTATAATTATAAGGTATTGATGAATTGTTTCCATTTAAATAAAAATATTTGGATTTTTTGGACTGCTCTTTTATTATGGGTTATAAATCCATACAGTAAGATTTTTTTTTTCTTCTACAAAATGTGGTGGGGGTGCTAATTAGATGGGGGAGGGGTGTTAAATGGAACAATATGGTATTAACCTAAATAAAAAAAAAACTTTACAACACGTAAGATAAGAAAAATTATCCTCCTATATTTGAAAGCTTTAAATCAAATGGTTCTCAAATAATTCAGTGTAAACAGTTTTGGTATTTTACATAAATTGACCTTGACCTACTGACCCCAAAAACAACATGGGTCTTTTATACTGTACTGGCATGCATGATTTTGTGAACTTTTGAAGGCTCTACAAATGTAGGTTAATTTCCACTTAAGTTTAAGTAAATGGCTTTTACATTAAAAGTAACTTTGAGACTGGCCTTAAAACTACTGTAATTGATGTGACATTTTTATTTCAGTAATCATTCAATAAAGTTTAAAGACTGAGGGTCAAATAATCATTCATCTTGGTTTATACAGAATTTATCTTAGTTTGATTGTGTAGGAAGCTTATAGCTTAGTTATATACACTCTCTCAAACCATTCCTGGAATCAACCAGTACTGGGCAGTGAGTGAAAAGTTTCTTCCTCAAGGAAACAACATCTTGTGACAACAGACTTGCAGCATGATAGCTATATATCTTCCACTGAAAAATAAAAGACAAATATAACTTACTCTAGAATAGCTGGCAGGGCCATGCTGTTTGGGACAAGAAGATGCTTCTTAAGGGCAGATACAATGTTTTCCTGCAAGGAAAATTTTTGTTTATAGTATCGTACTAATGTTTAGTCTTTTACATTTTATGTCAGTTTACAAATACAACTTAAAAAAGGCTTTGCATTAGATTTTTGTCCCCTTTTTAAAACTGTTTAGGGAAAAAAATCATAATAATATGAAATATATATACTAACATAAAATAAGAAACTTAAAATTTTTAGGGGTTTTCTTTTTTGTTAATCTTGTGATATTTATCCCTGACACCGCTAACTATACAAGTACTTACCAAAGGTTATTGTCCTAGAATTAATATGCTGCTGTGTGTATGTAGTTAAAAACTTACCTCATGGTAGACAAGCTGAGCAAATGTCTGAACCTGATCTGAAATCTCTTTCTTGAAATGAGCTGAAAATATTGATTAAAAACTTTCACCTAATGCTTTTTTTTTTTTTAAATAAATATTATTTGTCTGAAAAGCAAATTAATTAATGTTAACAAATTAACTATCAAAATGTAACTTTTCAGTTTTGATAAATATCACATAATCAGTTATTTAACTTCAATTCTAAACTATGGTAAAACACTGTTTTGTTTTATAACTTTTTATCCTTTACTAAAAGATATATAACACAATTCTTAAACTGTAGAAGCAAAAAAGACATACTTGAGTTTAAAATGTACACATATTTAGATATATGATAATGGGTAACCATTCTGTGTCAAACATTAAATGTCGCTTTCGTTTCTTTTGATTTGTGTTTGAGATAATTATTCAATAAATATTAGACCCTTTACAATATACTAGCCATGCAAAAAGGAATAATAATTTGATCAAGGTTACAAAGTAAAACAAATTTACCAAAGTGATCTGTACAGTTGAGTTCTGACTGTTTGTGCAGAGCTTCTCCAAAGTATGATAAAGTTTCCTTTAAAAATAAGAAAAAAAAACATTCCATATTGTCAAAAATAAAAATATAACAGGCAATAATCTGATCAAATATAAAAATGTATCATATGGAAAGGGCCCTTGCGTAAACATTTTGGGGGTCAAGAAAATAACACTAGCAACCCCAGATAAACCGATAATCTGATTTAGATTAGAATTAGCGTGAATGGTAGGGGGTCACTGGCTTTGATCAAATCTCCTATCAACTTATTAATTTTGTATTTAATGAAACTTAGATATAATTAAAGAAAATAAAATTTTGCTTAAAATGTTTATTAACACAGTATAAATGAAAAAAATAATTGTAAATAAGAGTGGAAATCACATGGTGACAGGGCTTGAGCTAGGTCAAAATTTTAGGGAGAAGTGACTTCTCCCTCCAGCTGATTTAGGGAGAAGTGAGGAGACTTTAGGGAGAAGTTGGGAGACATATTAGGCGTCGTCATCTGGAGAATTATAAGCTAGGAAACTTTACAAACCAGAAAAGAAATCAGAAACACTTCTCAAATAAACAATTCTACTATAAATCTACTTTTCATAAATGTATACCAATAGCAAACACAATATTTACATATACATGGGTGCAAGTTGAAACTTTGGAAAAGCCTGAAAACCTTTATTCATAATCATTTTCCTATATAATCTTTATACAGTAATACATGATGAAATTTGTCACACAACAAAAACAGAGCTTCAGGCATATGCCTGAAAACTTGCAATCATACATGGATGTTGTGAGTATTTTTAGTTGGTAACAATATTCAGGACAGAGCAGTGCCACTTGCCATTAGCAATGAGTTAGACTGGTCATCATCTACAATTTTCTTTAAGGGATTTGCCCACAAGCCAGAATTTTAGAGACATTTAATTTTGTATAACTTTATCAGCGTGTTAACTTTATGGAGTTCAATAAACTAATGAAATATTAGATACAAAATCTTCACATTATCATAATTTCAACAGATTAGTGCTCCGAAAGGTTTTTAACAATCGAGTATTCGATCATATTCACACCTTTAAGACGTTGGGCATTGTTTATCTTTACTCGTCAAAACACCTCAACAATTATCAACAATTATGTATATGCAGGTGTCTTTAATCATGCAATCGGCGAAAATTGATTGAATCTGTCGCGATTTTGTGTAATTGTCAACAAATAGCCGCAGTATGTTAGTGTGTCGCTGATTGGTCAATGCAAACTGTCGCAGATATAACGCGCGTTCTGATTCGTCAATCGCATGAATACATAATGAGAATGATCAACATAGTGAACTCTTGCCTTGCGGCGTGTATTAGACTTTGTTGATGTTGACAGGGCTCGAATTTAACTTTTTTGGCTACAAGCAATTTTTTGCTAGTGGACAAATTTTTAACTAGCAAAAACTGAATTCAACTAGCACTTTTTACGACAATGATTTTTCAATTCCAAAATTGTTTAAACTTTTTTGTACATTCATTAATTTTTTAAATTATCATGTACAATAATAATTAATTCATTAATATAGAGGCCACTTTTGGACAATTTTTTAACTAGCAAAAACTGAATTCAACTAGCACTTTTTACGACAATGATTTTTCAACTAGCACTTTTTACGACAATGATTTTTTAATTCCAAAATTGTTTAAATTATCATGTACCATAATAATTAATTCATTGTTGTTACAATTATGTATCATAATAATAAATTTTATTGAAATGTTTCTTATTAACAAAATCAAAATTGTAATTTATTTGGACGAGTTCGAACTGCCCGGGGTACGAATCAGCAACGTAACTTTCTACTCAAAAACTTGATTTAGGAGACGGGGATTATTATCAAATATCAATCTACATGTAAAAAAAAAATAATGCAATATTGTCGCCATACCGATGATGTCTGGTCTTGATTTTGCGCACAACAATCGGCGCAAAATATTTTGGCAACATTTCCATCGTCATCGAGTTCGTACGAAAGACTGACGTGCAGTTCTTTCTCCCATTTTTTAACCTTTTTAACTGAAGGTCTGATTGCCTTTCTTTTGATAGACTGTGAATCATCTTCTGTACTCAGAGTATTGTTATGGGAAGACACATTTGCTTCAGTAAGTGGGAAGAAGTTTGTTATTTTTTGTTTAGACATTTTATTCCCATCACGCTTGATTTACACGGACAAAATGACATTTGGGCTGGTTTAAATTTGTGTACTTTTTTAAGCGAGGTTAAGGTATAGAAAATGTAAACCAGACAGCAAGTGCGGGCATAGTTTATAACTCGGCTACCTGCGAATATTACACCCCATTTATATTTCGGATTTTTCTGACGAGCGTATTTCGGATTTTTCTGACGACTCGCAAAAAAATGCTAGTAGTCATAAATCTAACTCGCAAAATCATTTTTCAACTAGCATTTTGCGAGTTTGCGAGTGTTAAATTCGAGCCCTGGTTGATAACTAGCAGATTAACGGTTATTGGTTGTAATTAAGAAGTAAATAAATTGTGAACAGACCTAGCGTCGTAAAAACTATGACAGATCACTAAAAAATCGGGCGACTTCAAAATCGCTTTGAAGTTTGTTTTAGGCGAAGTTGCTGATCCGAAGGCGACTTCTTCGCCCAAGTCGCCCCCTAGCTCAAGCCCTGGGTGAGCGACCATTTTATAGTTTTACAATGTTAAGAATTCCGAGTGCAATTTCACACATTTTATATTTACCTCAGGAGTGTCATCATGGTGTCGTATCTGATGAATGACATCAATATTTATATTGGTTATCCTTTCAGAAAAGGTTTGAAACTGAAAGAAATACAAGCATTTTTATTAATAAATATTCAAAACAGTAAAAATTATAATAACAAACCTATGTTTAATATATGTCATTTAATTATACCTCTACCGGTTTCACAATGTTATCAGTAGGATAAAGAAAATACTAATATTAAACAACACTTTTTTATGTTGTTAAATATTCAAATTCAAGTGTAAATTCATAAATGATAAACTTGAAGATTTGCATTTAACTGTTTAAATGATGACATAAAATACCTTAACCAGGTGTTTTTTCCAACACAAGTCTTACCTAATATTCAAATATCAATATAAATTGTTGATAAGACACATTAACACAAAAATATTCAACATCGCGAAAATATGTTGCAATTCACTTTACCCTAAAAGTATTCTCTTTCTTGTGATGTCCTGACTTCCCCATGGTTGGTACTAATTACAGATCTATTGAATAATAATCTCCGTCACTTCTATATTTACTGTTACAACAATATATCTTTTAAACATTATTTATTTAAGAAACGTCGAATTCAGTTTGTTTTCCATGCTTTCCGGAAGTTGACATGTGTAATCCTTCATGCTGAAGAGCTGTACCGTATTTACTATATTTAAATACCGCATGGCGTATCGTTTCGCACTTGTCGGGATCCGTATTCTCGGTGCCTGAATACATACGTTTCACACGTGCAGTAGTCAAAATACAACATAATGCCTCAGAATATAGTAAGTTGTCCATCTTTAGGGAGAGCAAACAATAGTTTTATAACGTGAAACTTTTAAGAGCATGTTATATGCTTACATATATATCACCCGAAGGAAGTATCACTGAAGGGGGAATTATTTGCCTTTAAGGTAGCAAAATATAGACAAGGTAGTATTTTGACTCCCAGACAAAATACTTTATCACTATAACTATTCTAATTGACAAAGACAACAGAATCAAAATATATTTCAGGTATTTGGCCAATGAGTACCATTTTGGAAACTATCCATAAACAGGACACCAAAAATAAAATAAAAAGTTTTGAGAAATAAAATTAAGCATTTCTGGGGCATTATGGACCTCTAAACTATAACAGGACACCAAAATTTTAAAGCTTTTGAGAAGCAATAATAAAAGATTTAAGAGCCTTAATGGTCATTTAATATTCAAATTCAGTGGCATTATATAACAAATATATATAGCATTATAACTTAAAAGTGTACAGGACACACCAAGAATTGTAGTCTGCTAGACCGTAATAAACTATGCATTATTGGAATATTTTGTACTTTCATTGTAAAAAGACTACGAAAAAAACCGTGAATTTACTAAATTTTTCATGAATTAATTTACAACCAATTCCATTATTTCAATTGGTAAAATTATTAGTGTTAGATCCGTTTAAGATAAGGAAATTGGCAAATGTGCTAGACCAATTAATTATTTTTTGTTGCGTATACTAGGCCTACTGTTTACTGTAATCAGAATAAAGCAGAATAAAACATGTATTTATTTGAAAGCTAGAAAAGCAAGAAAGGCATAGAAGAAGATTAACAACTAAGAGAAAAAATAACATTTTTAATTCAAGAAACATTTTATGAATAAATAAAATGATACTAATATTCGATAATCTATGGAATCGTTCATGTAATGGGTATGAAAATTATTGTTTGACAAAAATCAATTCAAATGAACACAATGTAGATGCACATGTATTTCATCAAATTATTTAACCAATATATGATATCAGCGCTAAAAGCAGAAATGAAATATAATGCTTTTATAATTATTCCCCCTGTTGGAAACGAACGTGATAGCCTCTACTACTACTATAGCCCGGCAGCCAACCTGCACATTTGTTTGTTGGCTGACCAACTCTAATTTTCATCTTGATATTCCCCAAATTGATAATGGACAGTTCTGAGGGGTAAAAAGCTGGCCTTGTCCATTTATGAAATTCAGCAGAAGTAATCGTGATTTTATTAGCCTGACCAATACAAGTGTTAGCATGCAACCATATCATAATGTTGAATTCATTTAAAATAAATGTTACCATATTAATTGTCAACTTATTGTAAGATCCGTTTTAAGATAAGGAAATTGAAAATGTGCTAGACCGATTCTGTTAAGTGTAATTGAATATTACTTGTTAACTCATACACATTTTATAGCCATTTATAAAATATGCCCTTTCCAAGAATGAAATTTTCTCTCTCTTCGTTATGAAATGGCTATAAAAACGTAAAAGTAATAGTCAATTAAATATGAACAAAAGTGCAATTATATAACAATATCGAATGGAAGAATTAATTAACAATCAATTAAATTATTTTAATCAGAGATTCGTGTTAGATCCGCTTAAGATAAGGAACTGGGCACAATATGTGCTAGACCAATTATTTTAATTACATGTATTCTTTAATGTGAAAATGTATCTTGAATCTTGTATCAAAATTTTATATTTTGATTTTTTCAAGTTTATTTAAATATGTATCTGCAGATTTTCTTGTAAACTTTGTAAAATAGAGTTCAAAGTATATAGTATAATTGAGTATCATTTACGTAGAATATGTTATGTTCAGAAAGTGATTGTCAATGATCCTTTAATATGCATGTCCGTGAGAAATGGCAAATTGTTCTCTTACATTGTATATTTCTTATCTGACATATTCCCTACACATAAATTCTTTTTGTAATTATGTTGCATCTATGTATTTATTTCATGTCACCAAAACGATGTACATTTGTAGAAGTCTAGAAAAAAAGAGTTCTGTTCTGTTTTGTTCTATTCCCTGAATCATTACAATACCTTGCCTCGAAAATTCATATATTGTTCGCAAAGTTGTAAACCATGTCAAATTAAGTAATACACAATGTATGTAAATGATATTCAAGTTTGTTTTTTTTTTCTATAAATATAGGATTTTTTTTCATCGAATTTTCATACCACAAAATTAAAATAAATCCTGTATTTATGGGAAAAAAAACTTGAATTTTCTGCAACGCTTTTTAGTATTGGATCATTTTTCACAATGCAATGCAATGAAATAATACGCCTTTTGCAAGAATCGTATTTTCCCTCTGTCTTCATTATAAAGTGGCTGTAAATTAAAGACGTGAAAGTAACAGCCAATTGAATCTGAACAAAAGTGCAATCATATAATAATATCGAATGGAAGAATTAATTAACAATCAATTAAATTATTTTAATCAGAGATTCGTGTTAGATCCGCTTAAGATAAGGAACTGGGCACAATATGTGCTAGACCAATTATTTTAATTACATGTATTCTCTAATGTGAAAATGTATCTTGAATCTTGTATCAAAAATAATTTTAGAGTTTTCAAGTTTATTAGTTTATTTACGTTCATCCATGCATATTTACATATTACAAAACATTTATAAAATACATATATAAAAAAGCATGGCCAATCTATCACAGATTATTTGAACATTTGCCTGCAGATTTTCTTGTTAACTTTATGAAAAGATATTTAACGAAATCACGTACTAGAAAACTCTTAGTGAATGTTTCCTTTTATTTGAACAACGGGTTCAGTTAAGGCCGTGTTTGAACTTTCTGCACGATATATTTGTTCATGGTTGACAGTCTGAATTTTGTGATTTTCTTAAAATGACTTGATTTTTCAATATGTTATTTCAACCCATGTATACGTTCTTTTCCGTATCAAATATGAACATGTTTGTTATTACTGCAATATATAGATAATCATGCAATATATAGATAATCATACGTATATCTGTATATGTTCTTTCTAAATCAGCATCAGATGCCTTGTTTATCAAACCATAGTACTATATAATCCTTTTCCATCTGATAAACGTATACCTCTTAACGGCTTTTATAGAATAACCTTTAGTTGTGACTTATTGAAAGAAAGGGTTTTTTTTTATTACAATTTAAAATGAAAATGAGCTAGTCTTTAGTCATTAATGCATTTAGTCTTTAATGTTGTTCAATATTTGTAAAGCCTTAAATAAGCCTTAAACGATACTTTTGTTTGGTTGAAGTCCAGTTGCCAAGCGGTAACTTATACACGTACATAACGATATCATTTCTATTTGTTTTTTTTTAATTTACCGGGGAAATTCATATACATATATGTGTATTTGATTATGTATAACACAACTGAACAGATTTATTGTGTTTCTTATGAATATGTATTACAATTTCATAAGGCCAATGTATAAACATATAATTATTTTTTGTACCGATAATAAAAGCTCCAAAACTTGTTTTGTTATACTATAATGTTAAGCCGTGAAGTTTCGGAGCTATCCTGACGCTACTAAATATTTCTTCATACGGACATATCTACCATTATTGACGCATAAATCTACCAATAAATTATTTTATAAGTAAAAGTATCGTATAAAAAGTTCATTTTCTCTGCATTATCTAATAAGCCTTTGATTTAAAATTAAATTTAACGACCTGCACCTTTGAGGCTAGCTGGGACCATAACTTTGTATTTTACTTTAACAGAACAAAATTAAGAGATAATTGTCTTCTTTTCTTTCTTTTCTTTGCAGAGGAAATATTAGGGACATGGCTTAGACATAAATCAATTATCAAGTTTGTCCATACCAGACATGATTTAATCATTGCATGACAATTAAGTTTGTCTGCAAGTTAATCACACCTATCATGACTCTTAAGTGGTCACTTACACGGTCATTTAATTTCTGATAGACAATCATTTTCTACATGAGTGAACACTGATAAATGCCAATAGTTTGCTATATATACAATTTTATTCAGAAGTTTCATCATTCAAACTTTGAATATAATCAATTTAGCATTTCATACATTGCATATTTTATAAATAAATTTTGTTCTGCTTTCAATGCAAAAGTATGGGAGTTCATGATATGTCATTGTGCGAGTTGAGGAAAACATATTCTCGTTCCGTGGAAGATATTGCTAATGCTTCTCTACGATCTTTGGATTCTCCTGCAAGACTTCAACTAAACAAATCCATCAAAGGATTATTTGCTTCATTCGGATTAACCCCTCCTCCAAGCGCGTGCAGAAGGTAAGAATTAAAAATCCATATTAGATCTTATCTTTTTTCTTATTTAGTTGTTAACTGAACCAATTTGATATTTTAATTTAGAAGTGCTTATTTTTAAGAGAGATTTACAAAATACTTCTTTCTAAATTATAATTGTTAAAAATTATTATTGTGTAATGTGACTATTTTTAAGTTTATTATAATGTTTACGGTACTTTTTATTTGCAGCGGATGTCGTGATGCATTATGGTTCAGCACCAAATTTGAAAAGAAAATGGCTGCAATGGAGGACGAAACACCTGCCAGTCCTCTGACCAGATTTCAGAGAGATGTTCCAATAAGACAGTCAAAACTTAACTCAGGTATTTCACTTTTTCATGAATATATAATGTGAACGATTTTCTGTGTTGTAAGAAGAAATGTGTAAGCGCAAACATATTTGTTTATATAAAGATTCGTACCAAATATTTTCGACCCATTTAATTTAATAACTTTAAACAAAGGATATTTTGCTAATTCTGATTCTTAAAATGTAGAGCATGAATATTTTTAATCCAAGCTGCATGCATTTCATTATAATTTATTCAAATTCGTATGGTAAATTAAATTCTAAATGATACTGTGAGTCAGAGAATGTGGCTAATCAGATAATTTTCTGAAGTAAGTCCGTTTCAGGAATATGTCATTATGATTATTTGATTCAATTTAGGTATATAACAATTTTATAATTGAATCTGTTTGATATTTGATTACAAAAGGGTCTGAAGATTTTGTTTTAAACTTTCAATGTGCAATGTCTCTGAGATGACAAGATTTGGATCTTGTTTACCAATATTATGATTTATTATAACAATATTTGACACTATTTTTACATAATGCACACATATACAAGCCTGGGGCTAATGATTCTCAAATCTAACATCTTCTTTCAACTGATATGCTATGATAAACTAATTAAGCTGTCATCTTTCATGTGTAGAAAAGAATTATGTTTCATCTTTTGTAAATATTTTTCATTATGAGAAATATTATTTTGATAAACTTGTCAGTACAACTATGTTATGTTCAAGTGAATGACATCAAAATATTTGCTAGGATTTAAACTTTGGTGAATATGAGTAAGTTTTAAGAATTTTGATAGCTATATTTAGATATTTAAAAAAAAAAATACACTTTCAGATACTTCCAAGTTCATTAAATAATTTTATTGTTATATTTGATCTTTAAATAATTACATTACATCAAACAGGTCCATATATTATATTTAAATAATTGCATTTCTATCAAACAGGTCCATTCAGAGCTACACAAATTTGGAATGAGGTAATTGACCATCTTAAAGAAAAGGTTGAGTTGAAGAAAAGACGCTACAAGTTACGAAACTATGAAGACTGTTTTACCGGCACAGACGCTGTTGATGTTGTTCTGCACTATTTACTTAGTGACCAGGATACATTCTGCAATCTGTCAAGAGAGAAAGCTGTCAAGGTTAGTGTGATTTTTATGTTTGAAATTTTTCATACTTAAATCTTTAATACTATTCCGTTCAATTCATAGCTTGTATATCATTGTTGATCCTTAAATGATCAAATCTTAATAGTATGAGTATCTAAATATGTTTTTATATAAATGTGAAATAATTAAAATATACAAATGTAATTGTTATGTAATATAAATGTGCTTAAAATTTAGACTACTGAGTGAGAAGTAATCTAAAGATCATTTTTATCATGTCTGCTATTTCAATTTCAGTTATGTCAAACTTTGATGGATAAAAAGGTATTCTCACCTGTTGGTAGCAAGTCAGCTGAGAACAGCAAACATACTTTTGAAGACAGCAGTGGTAAGATATACCATTTTAGTGGTGTCCATAGCAACAAAGAGAATGTAGCTCCAGGAACTGATGTTAGTGACTCTGAGGAAGAGATGGAAGGTCGTGATGATGCAGGTGAAACTATCATAGAAGAAGGAGAGTCAATGAACACACCACAAAAACAAACAAGGTATGCATTACTAACTTCTCCATTAGATATATTCTTCTAATCTAAGTAAGTAATTGTGTAGTAAATTACAGCTTTTTGTGTTGTTGAAAAGTATTGAATTAAAATTTTTTAATTGATACAGTAAAATATATTTTCTTGCTTCTTCTTGTTGTTAAAAAGGAACACATATATATCTGTTGTAAGATTTTCCTGCTTATATAACAGGCCTCTTCCCATTTGAATTTTCTTTGAAATTGTGCAGTTTTCCCAAAAATCTGAACTTAAACCTGATTCTTTACTTCCAAAATTAGCAATTTTAGGGAATTTTAGTTTTGTTTCCAAAAATTAAGAGGCTTAGGCCATTTTCCAATGAAATGAGAAAAATCTGCTGTTGATGATATTAACATTTATTCTTATTTTCTAGGTTAACAGGACTTACAGATTCACATTTACCAGGGAGCTATGTGAAATGTAACCCCATGATGTCTGACCTGACCGAAGATGAGGGGGAGCCAGCCATGCTGGGATCCAGGAAAAGAAAAAATCTTGATAACTCACAGAGAGTACATAAACGTGCCAAACTTAACACAACACCAGCATCATCTTCTACAGAATCTCTTAATGAGGAAACCCTTACAGATGAACGTAAGCAGCTGTCTTTAAATTCTAATTAAAACTTTTTTTGTAATTGCTCAGTTTGAAGATATTTTGGTTTAACGAAATTTGAAATTTGTTAATAATCAACAAGCAGGTTAACAAAATACCTTGTTTTCTTTGCATTAACTTAAATCTTTTGGCTGAAATAATGTTATAAAGATGAAATTTACATGAAACAGATTCCTTCAATTAATTTCAAATGATGCAGTTTATACTCGTATACAGTTTTTTACATCAATTGTATTTATTTACTTTACAGAAATCAATGACATCTGGAGGGAGGTAGCACTGTGCCAACTTCTGACTATTGTGGATCTCTCATTCTTGGATGGTGTTTTATGTGATGATAAAGATAAAATAAATAGAAAAGTTGTACGTCCAAACAATCATGGTGTTGTATCGAACATTGTAGCTAAACACTGGAGTTTAAGGTGTACTGCCCGCAGTGCCTCACACACTGATCCGTTCATGAAATCTGCCTTGGAATGCATCGCACATATACCACGAGGCATCTCAAAGTTTGACACAGACTTTACTAAATCGAGTGACCCAGTGACAAAGTTACAAGCGTATAATATGATCTGTGAACATTATAACATGCGTCCCGATGCTATTTTCCCGGAACGCTTCTTAGACCTTAACTTGGCGATAATGAAACTGATTTTATCTGAGAGGAACACAACAGCCTTAAACGCCATGCAGTTGAATATGATGTTATTGCCTATCAGACAGAAAGAAGAATTGAAGAGGTTGTTGAAGTTCTTGTCGGTAGCAACACAAGATAAGGACATTCAGCTTGATCAGCAGGTAATTGTTACATACATTGTATATGACCTTGTAATAGCATTAATTAGCTGTATTAGATAATATCAAGAGAGGTGCTATGTCAATGTTTGGCTCTTTATTCTACAGATGTGAATATGCTATTTTGATTGGTGCTAAATCTGGACATTGATATTTCATACCAACCTATTTCTATAGCAGTATCTTTAAAAAAATTTAACTAGGTGCAAGAATGATGCCAAAATTTCATAGAATTATCATGAATTTCTGTTAACAAAATGAAGAAAATATTGCATAATTTGCATTTTAATTAACCTTTAATATGTTATTACATTTGTATAATGTTTTATAGTATATCAGTTATTTATAGATATGTAAATTTCTTATCATTTATAGTAAACTTTTCTCTTTTAATTTTAGATGAACAATGAGCAAGCAGTGTTACATCATTTTTCCGAGGTTGTGTTGAAACACAAAGGTCTACCATGGGATCTTTCTTCTGTAGTAGTAAGGTTCCTGGTCCTAAATGCTGGTCAGGTCTTCAAAATACCACATGGCTTAAAGGAAAGAGTGGACACAAGAATTGCAGAGATAAAAGAGGGGATGGTGCCTGTTGTTGAAGGTAATTAACACTCCTATTGGCTACAATTATTATTTTCTTAATTCTGTTTTCAAGTGACACAAACATTGTAAAGATCACATTGCAGTTTTTAAGCTGTAGTATTTGAAATCTTGGTTGTACCATGAAGGATTATTTCAAGTTCTGAACCATAGTAGAACCACATACAAGTCTTTTAGATTAAAGTAGATTTTAGAATATAAATTGTTATAAAATTTCAGCTGATTTTTTTTTTACATTTTCATGAATTTCCATTTACCACTCACTATTCATAATAAGTAAATTGGTTTACTTTCTTTTTCAGAAACCGTATTTTGTAGCCAGGTCTCACAAACAGAGTACAAGAAACAGACCGAGGAGTGTACAAACAGCAGTCTAGTTCAGATGATGAATACCATTATAGACAATCCTAAAATGGCGTTAAAAGAGAAGAAACAGCGATTACAAAAGTTCCGCAAATACCATCCGAATATCTACGCCAAACATTTCACAGGAATGGTTTAAACAAAGCCGGTGGAAAACCATCTCATGTCATAATGGTGCTAAAATTTTTGAATTTTTTTTTTATACAAGATATTTTGTTGAATGTGTTAGATTGTTTGTTTGTTAGTTGAGTATTTGTTCGTCTGAATATGACAGTGCAAGTCATGTGATTATAAACATTTTGTTAGTGCTGACGATATTGAGACTCGGAGGAGTTTCAACAAGTTTTTATGAAATATATTTTTGTTGTTACAAATTTGATTTTGAGACTATATCATATTCTATTGACTTTTGTGATCTAAAGTAAGGAGTTCAGGTTGTTGAATTGAACTGTTAAATTTTGAATGCATAATAATCAGCTTAGTAATTGATCAGCAGGGATAAATTTATTTTACCAATGAATCGTGCCACAATTAATTTGTTGATTTTTTTATTCTCATATTTTTCTCGTTCATGACAAGCATTTTTTTTTTGTTCAATCACTTCATTTTTGTATCACAAGACTGACTTGACAATTTTGTTCAATGTTTCATTCAAGTTCACTTTATTCATAGATCCAAGTATAAAGCAAACTTGGAGTATTCTGTCTCAATAAGGATCTCAAAAGTGGATTGTGGATCTCGAAAGTGTAACTGTGGATCTCAAATGTGGATCTTTGTTTTTGAATCTCTTTATCTATAATATACAAGATAGTATACAATCATACAATACAAGGAAATATACAAGCATAATCATTATCATTAGAAACAATTTGTTTTTCTATGATATTTTAATTGGGTTTGATCTCAGATAGGCCAGTATTAATGATCCTTAACATATCAAAAGGGTTGGCCCAAAAGTAGCTAGAATTGTTAATCTCTAAACTTAGCCTATAGTTTTGTATACACTTGTAGCCATAGATATTATCATTGAGCCATCTGCTATTGCTGCTAAGATAATTTGATTTATTGTTCTAATGAAACAGTGGTAGTGTACCAAATCATTTATCAAGTTTTGTTGTAAAATAATGTTATAATAGTGCAATAAAATTGTACATATTAATTGTATATAATATATAATAATTGTTAATATTATAACATGTGATAAAGAACTTGAAATTTACTCTGTGTATTTGTTTTAATTTTAACTTTATCTTTCCCTAATCAATGTCAATGCCATACCTTACCCTTAACCAACGCCATTCCTGCTTGCTTTGTCTTCTTAATATTCAGGCAGCAGTACTTGTCAAAGTTTCTTGAAAATCGTGTTTCACCTAAGTAGACAGGATCCAGGCAAATCATCATATCCTCTTCAAGTTTAAACTGCTAAACCAGAGACTTATTACAGATCTGTGGTAATTCATGCCAAAGTGTCTTGAAAATGTGGGTCTGTCCTGACAGCACATTATTCCTCAGAAAAAATGGTAAGCTTCTCAAGGTTCAGGGTCCAAGAAACTCTATGAGCTCCAACTCAGATCTTATGTATTTGATTGGTCAGAAACTGCCACAAAATGTTCACTGACCAATGAAATCCTGAGATTTGAGCCAGGTGTCATTGTTTTGGAAACCAGCTGTCTGTCCAGGAGATGTTATGAGTGAAATAACTGGTTGATTATCTTTCTGAAATCAGTGTCACACACCTGCTCCTGTGCCTGGATCCATAGTGCATGCTTCTCAAATCTCGGTACCATACAACTGATGGTCAAGACACATTATGTAGTATATACGTAGTACAGGTAATAGCTTAGTACATTATAATGGAAACATACATTAATGAGCCGTGTCACGACAAAACCAACATAATGGGTTTGCGACCAGCATGGATCAAGCCCGGCCTGCGCATCCGCGCAGTCTGATCAAGATCCATGCTGTTTGCTATCAGTTTCTCTACTTGTTATAGGGTTTGTAAGCGAACAGCATGGATCCTGATCAGACTGCGCGAATGCGCAGGCTGGTCTGGATCCATGCTGGTCGCAAACCCATTATATTGGTTTTGTCGTGACACGGCTCATTTATGATTCATGTATTAAATAATGTGTTGCTTAGGGCACGCACATAATATGACAGTTACTTCCTCTTGCCCTAATGTTTACGGGGGATTTTTCCAGCATTAAAGCCGAAAGATTTTAGACATAAATAAAGGTGGGCAGATCAAATAAGTTGAATTCTTTTGGTGCCTGAATTCATATCAAAACATGCATTAATATTGAATACATTTAATGATTTAAAAGTTCAAAAAGGAGCACACCTCCATGTAAAGTAAAGCTTTGTATAACTAAAAAAATGTTCTAATAAATAGAAGTGTTAGAGAACATATTGTGATTTAACTTAGCCAATGCTCTATTTTACAACAGTGTACTAAGAAAGAATGGTGATGAAAATAATTATTTTTCATTCTAACTTTAGTGAATGTTTTATTTTTGTTTTGACATGCAAAGTGTCCGTTAGACATCAATACATTTAAAAAAATGTTGATATTTTATATTTAGTTTGATAAAAATTATATACTAGTACTTGATTTTGATGATTTGAATCAGATGTTTAGAATATGTACCATAATTATGTATTATTCAAATTGTCACAAATAGATCTAGCTCTAGTTATTTTTTCCAATACATACTATGTCATTAGAGTTTATAAGTTAATAAGGATTTATTTATTTCATCGTCATATGATTTGGACATAGTTATTAACAGGATCTTTCAAACACCCTGGTTGTCAAACTTGTGTGTTTATGACATGTGCATTTCTTTTCAAACAGTAGTGAATTAAATAATTCACTTTATTATGCCATTCAAAAACTTGAATATGCATTGGATATATAAAGAGAAAAAAATGGTTCCGCTGGGGCTCGAACCCAGGACCTTCTGCGTGTAAAGCAGACGTGATAACCACTACACTACGGAACCGTGTGAAATTTGCGTTCGTAATAAACCATCAGTATACAAATAGCTTAAATGATAGGTTGCTCACCGCTAAATGAGTTTTCATTAACTTGCCACGTGTTAAATCACGGATTTATATTACCACAGATATATATACGTCTATTCAACTCCATGATATTACTATATAAATCCGTGGTTCAATAAACTTAATTTGTATATTTATTTATCTAATATTGACGAAAGAAATTCAACTATTTTCTGTTAAATGTGCCTGCTTTTGTTAAGAGAAGTTAATTTGATCGGGTTTTGAAAATGTCATGACCTAGAGTAACTTGGACCTGAGGACTGTTTAAATCTGAAGTCAGTTGGCTTATATTTTCCTTATTTACAATGATTACTACGGTCCCTTTTAAGACAAAGCAGCGGCGCGGGCAACTGATTCGGTGATTGTAACGCGGCTCTTGTTCCATTATGTTAAAAGTCTATTTAAACTTATTTCATATAGACCCGAGGATCTTTCTAGACCTAGCGCTGTAGTGTCTCCGAAGAAAATTAACATAGGAATGAATGAAAAACATATTGCATATAAATGTGAAATATAATAAACCATTGATGGATGTATATTAAAGTCGTACACATGTTTGATTAAATTTCTATCAACCATCAAAATTTACAAGAAGTACGTATGAGCATCGGTGGTTCAGTGGTAGAATGCTCGCCTGCCACGCGGGCGGCCCGGGTTCGATTCCCGGCCGATGCAGAAGTTTTTTTTCTTTCACTTCATGATTATTTAACTTTATGGAATATTTATTATGGAGCATTAACAATGTTCACTTTTTGGTCACGTAATAGAGACCACCACCAATTATTACGGGCACATTAGGATATTCGTAGGGGAGCGGTGGTCTAGTGGTTAAGCTAGGTGTCTGCCTTTCAACCCAGGAAGAATGGGTTCGAGCCGTAATCGGCTCACGACCATGTTTCTCTATATGGTAATGGTGTGTTCCAGGAAGCAGACACGAACGTGATTGCTATAAGTTGAAAGAACTTGTTTCGTAATCGAGCTTAAATAAATATGTTTAAACTAAATCTTAATCATAAATTGATCCCAAAATACCAGAATAATAAAGAAGAAGAAAAACAACAACACTAAAACAACATACGAGTACCAAGATTAACATATATAAAAACTTAAAAAAGTCTTCTTTTCTTTTTCCATTCCAACAATCTCAGAGTAAAATTATTTATTTGTTTTAATTAAAAGAGAATCAACCAATTACCCAGATTTTTAATTAAATGACGAAAGCAAATCTTTTTAAGAAAAGGACGCATAGGCCGGGAATCGAACCCGGGCTGCCCGCTTACCGGACGAGCATTCTACTACTGAACAACGACTGCTTCATACATTCCGTATTCGTCCGTTGTGATAAAAAAAATCCGTTGATATTGTACGCAATATATGTACCTCACGAATTTTTGGATATAAGTGCATGACATTTCAAAAGCAATAATATACGCTTTTCATATCAATGTATGAACGTTCTGAATACCAGACTGTATTGATAATGAAAATAACACTTATGATACATTTTGTTTCATTTTTACGTTCTAAATGGTGAGCCTTTTTTACCTTACAAAGCTATTCCAATCATTTTAAAGTGCTAGGATATTGTGTGTTCAAGTCTATATTATAATGCAAGTTCCTGCAGTCAATATACATAAAACATATACATGATCACCCAAAAGAAATTATAATTAAAAATAAAACAATGAATATAAAATAGCGTTCATTACCACGCGGTTCCGTAGTGTAGTGGTTATCACGTCTGCTTTACACGCAGAAGGTCCTGGGTTCGAGCCCCAGCGGAACCATTTTTTCTTCAAATTATGTAATCCTGTTTCATATCAATGCAAGAACACTGTATACATAATGAAAATAACACTTATGTTGTTTTTTTACGTTCTAAAATGTGCACCTTTCTTACCTTAACAAATCTATATTATGATGAAAGTTCCTGCAGTCAATATACATAAAACCGTAAAAGACTGTTGTACCCATTTAAATCTATACCATTTTCAGAAGTTATGCGAAACAAAAATGTGATATTCATTTTGTATGAGCCCAAATTCTTTTCTGGTCCGAAACCTAAAATATCACCTTTTTCCTCCTGGTAAAGATTACTTGCGATGCAAGGAGGATGGCCACAGAAACCTTATTTTTGATTTCAAACAACTTCGAAATTATCAAACGAAAACAGGTTATAAAGCACGTGATTTTTATTGTACTCGTTTTGAAATGAATTGGACTTTTTCTTTCGAGCAATCTATTACTAATCTTTCTTTCAAGCATTTCAAATGCATATCTTTAGAAGTACGAATTGTTCAAAAGACATTTGCCGCAACATTTTCTTTCACTCCAGAACTAAAGCAGTTTTAAAGGTCTTCAAAACATAGAATAAACAGGAAAAGAATGCATCGGCCGGGAATCGAACCCGGGCCGCCCGCGTGGCAGGCGAGCATTCTACCACTGAACCACCGATGCACATATCATGTTTTCACTAGTGCTTCATACACACCGAATTCATTTGTTTCGATTAATTAAATGGCGTTAAAAATGCACACTATACCATCATAGCCATTCATGCATGTTTCGATGTTAGATTTTTAATATCGAGGCATGACAATTGAAAAACGATGATCACCCAAAAGAAATTATAATTAAAAATAAAACAATGAATATAAAATAGTGTTCATTACCACACGGTTCCGTAGTGTAGTGGTTATCACGTCTGCTTTACACGCAGAAGGTCCTGGGTTCGAGCCCCAGCGGAACCATTTTTTCTTCAAATTATGTAATCCTGTTTCATATCAATGCAAGAACACTGTATACCAAATGAAAATAACACTTATGTTGTTTTTTTACGTTCTAAAATGTGCACCTTTCTTACCTTAACAAATCTATATTGTGATGCAAGTTCCTGCAGTCAATATACATAAAACCGTAAAAGACTGTTGTACCCATTTAAATCTATACCATTTTCAGAAGTTATGCGAAACAAAAATGTGATATTCATTTTGTATGAGCCCAAATTCTTTTCTGGTCCGAAACCTAAAATATCACATTTTTCCTCCTGGTAAAGATTACTTGCGATGCAAGGAGGATGGCCACAGAAACCTTATTTTTGCATTCAAACAACTTCGAAATTATCAAACGAAAACAGGTTATAAAGCACGTGAT